GCCCTCTGCTGTCATCAGACGCAGCCATCCAAGCATGTTGGGCCTGCAGGCCATCAATAAGGTAATCCAGTGGAGCTTGCAGCCTGTTGCTGATCGCCTTCCCTGGTATCCAGGGGGTGTTTTTTCCGCTGGTTTTCTTGGTGGTCTTCCTGTCCTTCCTCTGTAACAGTCCACATCGGAAAAAAAAAAAAAAAAAACCAGTTTGTAGTCCGAGTTGAGCAGCGTGAATAACCCCCGCTCGCCAGCTGTGTGGTAAAGCTGCTGCCAATGCTGCTGCATCTGTACAAGGCACCCCGCAGCCGTCCCTGAAAGCTGCGTTGACCGCTGCCAGAAGGCCAACTCACCACCTCATCAGCCCCTGAGCTGTTCGGGCAGCGAGTTGGGATGAGGGTTGCTTGGGTCTCGGGGGTACGGTCTGGTGTGTTGTCTGTTGCAGTTCCTTTCTCCTCTCCATGGCCTGCCCAAATGTTTACAAGGGTGGCTGACGAGGGGGGCTGACAAGGCTTCTTAGGAGAGTGGCGCATGGGTGTCCCGTTTGGGAGGGCCCCTGAATCCAGTGGTTTTTTTCTCCGCTGGTTTTTTGGTGGTCTTCCTGTCCTTTAGGACGGGTGACCTGCCTAAGAGGTCAAGAGGACAACCACCACCACCAAAGGCTGAAAACAACCAAAACAGCCTCCCTCCACAGGTACGACAACGAAAGACAAAACAACAAAACCACAACAAAAATACCCACAGCAATATTTCCTTCAGCACAAGTACTTGCCAAGATTTGGTTTTTTCTTGGTGGTCTTCCTGTCCTTCCTCTGTAAGTCGGAGGCCCATTGCAACCTGATTAGATCTCCCAAGCCATGCACCTGCCTGCCTAGACAATAACTGTATCCACAACAACAACAACAACAACAACGCTGGTTTTCTTGGTGGTCTTCCTGTCCTTTTTCTGTAACAGTTCACATCGGAAAAAAAAACATCCTTCAGCACAAAGTACAAGACTCTACGAGAATCTTCAAGTTGCTGAGCACCGACCCAACAAAGGCTCACGCAAGCCATTAAGGCTGTGCTTGTGAGTCGGAGGCCCATTGCAACCTGATTAGATCTCGCAAGCCATGCACCTGCCTGCCTAGACAATAACTGTATCCGCAACAACATCCTTCAGCACAAGTACAAGACTCTACGAGAATCTTCAAGTTGCTGAGCACCGACCCAACAAAGGCTCACGCAAGCCATTAAGGCTGTGCTTGTGAGTCGGAGGCCCATTGCAACCTGATTAGATCTCGCAAGCCATGCACCTGCCTGCCTAGACAATAACTGTATCCGCAACAGTACAAGACTCTACGAGAATCTTCAAGTTGCTGAGCACCGACCCAACAAAGGCTCACGCAAGCCATTAAGGCTGTGCTTGTGAGTCGGAGGCCCATTGCAACCTGATTAGATCTCTAAAGCCATGCACCAGCGGAGAAAAAACACACACATGCAACCCCCCGATTTTGGGGATCCCTGTTACCCCCACACATTCCTTGCCTTGCTTCCATGACACTGAGGCTACTGCTCACCATGTTGTAAGCCCTTGGAAGTAGTCCTACAATGGGCTGATAGGTGTGGTTGCCAGCAGCGAAGGTGTTGTTACCTGCATGAAGCAGGGTCAATTGGGGAACAGGAGTGATTAGATAAGTTGCTGTAGAACTGGGGCAAGCAAGTGCATGTATTGCAAACAAGTGCATGACACACAGCAGCCAAGTGTTAACACACACAGCAGCCAAGTCTTTAGAAGAAAAAACAAGACACTGAGGCTACTGCTCACCATGTTGTAAGCCCTGTGATAAGATGGATCTTTGTGGTGAAGGCAGGCAACCCAGATGGGCTGCTAGGTGTGGTTGCCAGCAGTGAAGGTGTTGTGCTAGATTAGGGTACCTGCATGAAGCAGGGTCAATTGGGGAACAGGAGTGATTAGAGAAGTTGCTGTAGAACTGGGGCAAGCAAGTGCATGTATTGCAAACAAGTGCATGACACACAGCAGCCAAGTGTTAACACACACAGCAGCCAAGTGTTAACACACACAGCAGCCAAGTCTTTAGAAGAAAAAACAAGACACTGAGGCTACTGCTCACCATGTTGTAAGCCCTTGGAAGTAGTTCTACATGTGATAGGATGGATTTTGGTGGTGAAGGCAGGCAACCCAGATGGGCTGCTAGGTGTGGTTGCAGGCAGTGAAGGTGATTAGAAAAGTTGCTGTAGAACTGGGGCAAGCAAGTGCATGTATTGCAAACAAGTGCATGACACACAGCAGCCAAGTGTTAACACACACAGCAGCCAAGTCTTTAGAAGAAAAAACAAGACACTGAGGCTACTGCTCACCATGTTGTAAGCCCTTGGAAGTAGTCCTACATGTGATAGGATGGATCTTTGTGGTGAAGGCAGGCAACCCAGATGGGCTGCTAGGTGTGGTTGCCAGCAGTGAAGGTGTTGTGCTAGATTAGGGTACCTGCATGAAGCAGGGTCAAGTGGGGAACAGGAGTGATTAGAGAAGTTGCTGTAGAACTGGGGCAAGCAAGTGCATGTATTGCAAACAAGTGCATGACACACAGCAGCCAAGTGTTAACACACACAGCAGCCAAGTGTTAACACACACAGCAGCCAAGTCTTTAGAAGAAAAAACAAGACACTGAGGCTACTGCTCACCATGTTGTAAGCCCTTGGAAGTAGTTCTACATGTGATAGGATGGATTTTGGTGGTGAAGGCAGGCAACCCAGATGGGCTGCTAGGTGTGGTTGCAGGCAGTGAAGGTGATTAGAAAAGTTGCTGTAGAACTGGGGCAAGCAAGTGCATGTATTGCAAACAAGTGCATGACACACAGCAGCCAAGTGTTAACACACACAGCAGCCAAGTCTTTAGAAGAAAAAACAAGACACTGAGGCTACTGCTCACCATGTTGTAAGCCCTTGGAAGTAGTCCTACATGTGATAGGATGGATCTTTGTGGTGAAGGCAGGCAACCCAGATGGGCTGCTAGGTGTGGTTGCCAGCAGTGAAGGTGTTGTGCTAGATTAGGGTACCTGCATGAAGCAGGGTCAAGTGGGGAACAGGAGTGATTAGAGAAGTTGCTGTAGAACTGGGGCAAGCAAGTGCATGTATTGCAAACAAGTGCATGACACACACACACACACAGCAACACACAGTACGTTTCGCCTCGCGGCCAGTTATTTTAACACACAGCAGCCAAGTCTTTAGAAGAAAGAGCAAGACACTGAGGCCTCCTTCCTTGCATTGAAAGGAACCTAGTGTGTATCTATATATACCCATTACTGCTCACCATGTTGTAAGCCCTTGGATGTAGTCCTACATGTGATAGGATGTAGTATAGCAGGCAACCCAGATGGGCTGCTAGTTGTGGTTGCCGGCAGTGAAGGTGTGCTTGGAGAGGATGTCTGCATGAAGCAAGGAGAAATTGAAAAGGTAAGAGGGGTTGCTTCAGAATTAACTGCTATGTAATTACTCATGTATGAATGCTATGAGTCATGTATGAATGCTATGAATATTATTACTCTACAAGAATACAGTCAGGACTTCCGCAAATTGTCGTCGCGGTCTTGGCTATGGTCGGACGGCAACAATTTTCCGGCGTTCTTGGGAACTTGGGACGAAGTATTGGCTTGACTTCGAAAATAATCACTTCTGGAGGTGATCATTAACGTGAAGTTGACGTCTCGGTCTTGCGGGTGGCCACATGTCGACGCGAAAGTCGTGCTTGGAACCTGGAGCGCGAAAGCTTTGACGAGTCAATAGACGATCATCTATGGAGTACCTACGTCCGCTGTGAAGCGGTCAGGAGCCAGGCGAACATTGATCATGACGAAGCTTACCGATGCTCCGCCAGGTAGCTTCATCCGCTTTAGATGCCCGAACTCCTTTAAGCTTACAGACTTGCTTATGAGGATTTATTAGATAGTAGGGAGTAAGTAGCTGTTGTAGTCCATCGGTCGGGCATGAGCAAGAGGGTCCGGGGCCTGTTACCTACTCTATGTTTTTCCGCCTTGGTAGCACGGGCGAAAATGACTATAAAAAAAGAGTCCTGGCGGAGGCTTTTATACGCGGCAAACGGCCATGGAGGATTGTACGGTGGTCGTACTCACATAACCGAAGAGGATCCGTTGCGAGTAACATAACAGATTACAACCGGGTAGCAGGTTGTGTGGCATTCATAATCGATTTGGGTCGGGTGAACTAGCACAACGTACCCGCGGAGCTGTGCTGATTGCGCAGGTAGTTTAATAACCTTCATGAAAATTAGCATAGACGACATACAGGTAGCTATAACACCAACAAGGCTGGTGCCGCTGAATTCTTGTTCCGTAACGTAGCGTCGCTCCGTTTTACGAGCCTCTTTAACGAGTAGGAGGGGCTCGGAAAACGGAGCGACGCTACGTTAAAGTTTGCGAGCTCAAATTAGACGTTAAGTATATACGGCTTACGCAGGAATGATTCTGAAAGGCTTATGGAGGCGTCAAGGCCCCTGCATAGGAGCCTTCCCCTTGCTAGTTCCTGTTATTCCCTCTTTCAAGGAAATTGCAGTCAAGGTTTAGCAAACATCATGCACAGGACCTATCCTGTGTGGGTGCCGGCGCTTGTCCCGCTTCCGAAGTTGGCATGGGCAGACACCGCGCTTTCAGCAGCTTTGCAGCAGCGCATGCTGTGACCCTCCTTCGCGGGACTGTATAGTTGTTTCTCTTTCTCAAAATTGTCCAAAGCCTAGCTCAACTGTGATGACTTGCGTCGCAGGAAGGTTTGATGGTAATTTCCACTCTTAGGAGTGCGCCTAGAACGACGGCCTGGCGTACTGGTACTTCAGCCGTCGTTAAGCTGTGATATTGAGGGTCTGAAGTTGATGTGATATACTACTGAAGTGTCGGTCGTCTCCGAAAATGCTTGCCTTCAGTCTGTACGGTAGGAGCTAGTGGTCGCGGCTGCTCTACAATGAGCCTGTGTTGTGCAGCGACCCAGTACGCAACCAGGTAAAGAGTGTAAGCCATATTAAAGCTTAGTGCAGCTGGGAGAGGGTGTCCATAGAAACACGGGTACACAGCAGCTACACAGGCTTCCCACCTTACCGCGCCAGCAAACGCGAGATCAACTCCGCACAGCCCTCATCACGACGTCATTAGCAGCATATATGCACACGCCTCTGAGGCACACAGCGGCATTCGGGAACAACATATGCAGCAAACATTTGCTCACGAGCACATGCCTGTGTGTGCTTGATGCGGTTACTGTCACGTCGACATCTTGCTACCTTCCAGCAAGGCAAAAAAGAAGTCTCCAAGGGAACGACCCAACCCTTGCTTCCCTTGCTTCAGGGAAAGAGGCGTGCCAGCAAGACAAAAACGAAGTAGCCTTTTGCACACGCCATGTCTTATCCATGCACTCCGCAATCCCGGCGGGCGCTGATAAACACAATGCACATCTGTTCAACAGCAATTCCAATACGCGAGCTTCTATAGGTACATACATGCATACTGAACGCAAATTCCTACTTTTAAACACTCTCACTCCTACACATCCTGCCCCTTTCCATTGCGGCCTGCTACACATCCAGCAGCAGTCGCGGCTGCGGGTGCCGTCTCCGCTTCAGCGCCCGTGCCAGGCGGGTGAGGTGCTGCATGGTGGTGCATTTGGCCTCGCACCAGTAGCCGGCTGGCTCGTCGGGCGACACGTGCACGCAGCGGAAGTCGAGCAGGCGCAGAGAGGGAAGGGCGGCGAGGGAGGTGAGCGGAGAACGGATGTGCAAGTCGTTATTGTCTGCGGGAGGGTGGAGAAGGGAGAGAGGGTGTCGGAGGGTGAAGGGTGAAGGGTATGTAGCGTTGAAGTTGCGTCTCTTGCATCTCTTGCCCTTCTCTTCTCCCTTCCTGTCCCCTACGCTCTCTCTGTCCGCCTTTCCCTACTCATCACGTTACAGCCTCTCTCCTCCCTCACACCACCCGCCCCGTCCTCCAGTCTATGTACGGTACCCCCGCCCATGCTGCTCACGCGACACGTCCAGGTGCTCCAGACTGCTCAGCGCCCCCAACCAGCCGGGCAGCTGGCTGAAGCAGTTGGCGGCCAGCGACAGCGAGCGCAGGCTAGGGCCCAGCGGGCTGAGGTCCGGCAGGCAGCGCCGGGCTGGCTGGCGGCCCAGGTGGGCGGCGTAGGAGATCTCGTCGGGGGTGGGGAGCACGTGATCCAAGGACAGGCGCTGCATGGGAGGCAAGTTGGAGAAGGAGGAGGGCTAGCTTGCGTGGCCCATGCAAAAGGAGCAAGCAAGTAAGGCTTATCAGTTTTAGTGCAATGGTTTACCGACACGCAACCGTACCTGCCGCAGCCCCTACCTGCCGCATTCCCAGCGACACCGTCTCCTCTTACTTGCGATGCCAGCGATTCCTCCCGCCCTTTCCCGCCCCGGCCTCCCTCCCTTACCTGCAGCACCAGCACCTGAAGCCCCGTCCCCGCCGCCAGACCCTGCAGCCCCCCGCCGGCCCCCTCCGGCCCTCCGCCCTCCAGCTCATTGCAGCCGCTGAGGTCCAGGTGACGCAGGCGCGGCAGGCAGGGCAGCCAGGACGGCAGGCAGGGCAGCAAGCCGTGGTCGCGCAGCTCCAACCTAGGGGAGGGGGTAGGGAGGAGGGGAAGGAAGGAGGGGTAGGGAGGAAGGGAAGGGAGGAGGGGAACGGAGGAGCAGAAGGGAGTGCTGGTGGGACTTGAAGCCTCACATGGAGGGAGGGCGTATCTCACCACCTTGAGCCCGCTTCCCCCACATCCGCACCCTCCACCTACCTTGTCAGGCTGGTCAGCTGGCTCCACGCCTGCGGCACCCCCTCCAGCCCCACCTCCAAGCCCCGGCATTCGCAGGTCAGCACCAGGGCCTCCAGCTGGGCAGGGGGGGGAGGGAGGGGAAGGGTAAGCTAAGAGGGTAGAAGGGGAAACAACACAGGGGGAACAGGGGGGGGGCGTACGGCAGGGAGAAACGTTGGGTGGTGCGATTTTGTTCTCATGCGAGGAGCGAGGAGGAGGAGCGCGCAACCCTTGATGTATCCCATGGCCCCCCCCTACCGCAACCCATCCACAGTTGGCTATCTGCGGCAGCCTCCCTTACCCACCCCCCTCCCCCTGTTTCCGCGGCTCAGTTTATCTAATCCCCCTTTTCCCTCTCCCACCTGCCTCATCTCCCCCAGTGCTGCCGCCTGCTGCACCGGCAGCGCCCCCCGCAGCCCCTCCACCGCCAGCAGCCGCAGATGGGGCAGGTGCGGCAGCAGGCCCCACACACCCCCGCCGGCCCCCGCAACAGCCTCCAAGGAGGGGGCGGAGGGGGAGGAGGGCGAGGGACACACCAGGTCGTGGCAGCGATGGAGCACCAGCTCCTGAGAGGGAGGCACGGGGAGAGGGAGAGGGAGGGAGCAGGGAGTAATAGAGGTGGGTACTCCGCAAAAGCTGGCATTTCGGGAAGCAGGGAGGGAGGGGGAGGAGGGAGGGGGAGGAGGGGGAGGGAGGAGGGGGAAGCAGCGAGGGAAGGGGCTCGGCCTGGTGTGCGCACCATCGGGAAGTTGGGCGAGGTCGCCACGTGCTCGTGCATGGCGGAACGGCAGTACAAAACCAAATGTGATAAGGTGGAAATGTGAAAATAGGTTAAAAGCAAAGCATAACAGGGTGCAACGCGAAATTCGCCATTGTGGGAAGACGTTCGCCCTTAAAGCCGCCAACAGGATGTGCGAACAGGTTAGGTTGTGGGGGAGCTTTTGTAATGTGTGGATGAACAAAGGAGGTGAGGGGGGCTGGGTGGGAATGATGGCGGGTGAATGCGAAGGAGCCTTGGTGACGAGCGGTGTTGTACTTATAGAGGGAACTGATGAAACCAAAGGCCCAGGGAAATCCTACGACAACCAACCAGCAAAACCCACGGTACCTACCCCTTCCCAGTCGCCCACTTTCCTTGTCCTCCACCCCTCCTCTGACCCCTCCCTCCTCCCCTCCCTCCCTCCCCTTACCGTAAGGTTGTCCCTCAGCGCCGCCAGCGCCCACCCCAGCTGCGCCGGCCCGAAGTCGTGCTTGTCCGCTAGGCTGACCCACTCGCCGCCCTCCCCCTCGAACCCCTCGCTGTTGGCCACTGTGAGGCGGCGCACGTGCGGGCGTACGCGGCCCAGGAAGCGCAGGATCTGGGGGGTGGGGAGCGGGAGGGCCGGAGATGATCTAGTTACGGAAAAGGGAGGGAAGGGGGGGGGCATGGAGAGCTTGATAGAAGGCCGGAGGACTTCAGACGCAATCCGCATGCGCCTCCCCCTTCCCTTTACTGCCGCATTGTATCCCCGCTCCGCTGCTCGTCAACGTGCGCGTCACCCCCGAATCGGTGCGGACTTGCTCCTGACTCCTCCCCGCCCTCTTCTCCTCCCCAACCGTCTCGTGGTGGAGGCTTGCCACATGGCCTTACCCCACCCACCCGTCCATCTTCCCTCTTCCCTGCTACAATGCGCTAGCGTTTCGGTATGACGCTCCTAGTCATCTAACCCCCTGGCCTACCACCCCTGGCCTACCAACCAAGCCACCTACCCCCCTCTTTTGCCCCTCCCCGCACCTTGCTAGCGCTGAGGGAGGTGCTCTGGAAGGCCGCGTGGTAGTCCGCCAGGCTGGGCCGCGCATTGCTCCAGCGCAGGGGTGTGTGGATGGAGGTGACAAGCTCGTGACCCAGGTCGATACACACGTGCCGCCACACCAGGCGCTGGTGGGGGTTGAGAGGGGGAGCGGAGGGAGGCGGGGAGAGGAGAGGGAAGGGACTGGGTTGGTGAGCGGAGGTAGGAAGACGCGGAACAGCGAGGATACTGAACCAGGTTATCACACGAGGAGTGTAGAGGGACGATGGATCATGGGGCTAGCGGTAGGGCGGGTAGGCCGCGGTCGGAGGCCAAGACACGCAAGCAAGCGTGCACGTGGTGACACCGACAACCGCCCCCCCACCCCCTGCCTCCGCCCACCTCTTCTCCCCCTCCCCTGCCCAACCTGCGCCACGTCGGTGTCCAGCAGCCGCCTCCACCTGCTGCACACCTGCGCCAGGAAGGGGTAGCCGCGCAGCCCCACCGGCGGAAGCAGCTCCAGGTCGGCGGGGCGGTACGGCAGCTGGGTAAGGCGCAGCGGGTCGTCCTCCTCCCACACGCTGCCCACGTCAGCCAGATGGCCAAAGATCTGCGGCAAGGGAGGGGAAAAGAAGAAGTAAGCCACCGGTGCTCAAAGGACGATTCAGACACCACTGGACTGTCACCTGGCGACCGACATGCAATGCACCGAACCAAGCTAGGGCGAGGGAGACAGGGGCGGAAGGAGGGGTGACGGAGGTGGAAGAGGGGGCGGAGCTTTTACGAAGCTCGGGGATGGCGCTTTGCCACGCGATAATGGGGAGGAAGTTGGGACGGAGGAAAGGGTTGGGGTTAGCCCTTGTACCCACGGTGCAAACATGTGCAGGAGGACCGGGACGAGTGGCTTGGCCACCGACCTACCCTGACCGACCGTCGAGAACGGTAAGTTGGACAAAAGGAAGCCTCTAGAATGAATGTCGTATACTTGAAAACAGTAGCTAACAGTTACCCAGCGACCCATCCCGAGGTGAACCCTACCATGACGAGGATTTCGTCCGGGAGGTTATCCCACACTGGCCCTGGGCTTCTGGAATTAGATATTTCTAAAGACATCCTTTGTACAGCCTCGGATGAAACAAGCCGTGGAAGTGCCTGCGAACAAACGTTTGTGTACACGTTGCTTAACCAACGGGCTTTACGGCCGAACAACCCATAACGCAAGAAAACAAAGGTAAGAGACCTATGCAATTTTACCTACCGCCTAGGATCAGGCTCGTGCTAAGGTAAGTCTCCTTGCCTTGGTAACTCGGTAACGGCTTAGGACGCAACCTCAGATGCACCTAACGGCATACTGTCCTCAAAACCCATTCAGCATTTCTATAGATTGGGCTCATAACGTTTAGAAACCAGGAGGCGTGGAGGACAACACCCGAACGATAGTTGAGGTAAGCAGATCCTTTAAGCAACATGAAAAGGGTTACAAATACCGAGCCTGTGAAGCGTAAAGCTATGTTGAACAACGTGGCTGCTAGGCCGTGAGTCCAATCGGCATGTCCAACTCGGTTTCGGAGCAAGATATCGGAGCAAGGTAGGAACGGAGAGCTACGAACCGTCATTGCGGCACGGCCCATAGCACTGCCACAGAACTGTTAAACATTATACGGCCTATGCAGTGATAGTACTAAAAACCTAGGAATGTTGTTACACTGTAGCTAGAATACTACAGCCGTGCGCGTTCGCCCCCGAAGGCGTAGCTATGAGAGAAACAAAAATGCATTAATTCTGAAACATGACTCAAGTTCGCAGTCGAGGGATCGGCAGCACGGTTGCTATGCTCTGCTGGACACACGGCTTCTCGCTTTAGGCCCGTATAACATACATTCGCCTCTTTCTCCTGTGCCATTCTGATGCCCTGCCGACGTCACGTCTGGCCATCCTCCCTACCGCCACTGCCCTCGGAAGCGCTAACCCATGGTGCCAGTGTCGACGTCCACTAGGTCTCCCCGGGCTGCTGAACGCCGCCTCTTCTGCTAGAGTCTTTAGGATGCAGATCCCGAAGGACAAAGCAACCTTAACACCTTGGTCAGTACGGCATCGGCCGGGTTACCTGGGTGGACCCGACTTTTGTCCCGCCAAACCAACCCACTCTGACCAGCGCCCAGCACATTCAACGGACCGTTAGGACCGCTTAAGCCTGGGTGCGCACATGAGCGCCAATCGGTTCCCTCTCAACAATTTCAAACACTTGTAACTCTCTTTTCAAAGTTCTTTTCATCTTTCCCTCACGGTACTTGTTCGCTATCGGTCTCTCAGCAGTTTTTAGGGGCCACTGCGGGGTCAGTGTGGGGTTGGTGCACACCCTCCCCGCAGCCGCCCAGCCTCGCACCGCCATCTCATGCACCGTTCCTGCCTGGCGTGATGACACCCTCGCCGGAGCCGCCCAGCCCTGCATCACCATCTCCTGCGCCGCTGCCGCCTGGCGCACCATTCCCCTCGCTGCAGCCGCCCAGCCCCGCACCACCATCTCCTGCACCGCTCCCGCCTGGCGCACCATTCCCCTCGCTGCAGCCGCCCAGCCCCGCACCACCATCTCCTGCACCGCTCCCGCCTGGCGCACCATCCCCCTTGCTGCAGCCGCCCAGCCCCGCACCTCCATCTCCTGCACCGCTCCCGCCTGGCGCACCATTCCCCTCGCTGCAGCCGCCCAGCCCCGCACCACCATCTCCTGCACCGCTCCCGCCTGGCGCACCATCCCCCTTGCTGCAGCCGCCCAGCCCCGCACCTCCATCTCCTGCACCGCTCCCGCCTGGCGTGACGACACCCTCGCCGGAGCCGCCCAGCCCCGCACCACCATCTCCTGCGCCGCTCCCGCCTGGCACACCATCCCCCTCGCTGCAGCCGCCCAGCCCTGCACCACCATCTCCTGCACCGCTCCCGCCTGGCGCACCATCCCCCTCGCTGCAGCCGCCCAGCCCCGCACCACAATCTCCTGCACCGCTCCCGCCTGGCGCACCATCCCCCTCGCTGCAGCCGCCCAGCCCCGCACCTGCATCTCCTGCACCGCTCCCGCCTGGCGCACCATCCCCCTCGCTGCAGCCGCCCAGCCCCGCACCACCATCTCCTGCACCGCTCCTGCCTGGCGCACCATCCCCCTTGCTGCAGCCGCCCAGCCCCGCACCTCCATCTCCTGCACCGCTCCCGCCTGGCGTGCGGCCCCCCTCACCGCAGCCGCCCAGCCCCGCACCGCACCGCCACCTTGTACCGCCACCCGCCGCTTTACCCACCTAACACATCCACTGCATCCTCCCACGCCATCTCCTGCTCTCGGTGCAGCATGGGGGCTGTCAGGGCAGAGAGGGGGCTGTCGGAGCAGGGCGGGAGCTGTCGGCCCAAGGCGGGTGCTGCCGGGGCCGGGTGGGGCTGTCGACGCAGGGCGGGGGCTGTCAGGGCCGGGCGTGAGTTGTCGGCGCCGGGCATGGGCTGTCGGGGCAGGACGTGGGCTGTCGAAGCCGAGAAACACAGCTCATGCGGGATCGCATTTTAAACGATAGAGGGCAGCCCGGAGTCTTAAGTTGGAATAACCGGCGGTTAGGAGGAACCGGCCTGACGGTTGGCTTTACCGGGACACGAAGTTACCGGGTATGCTTTTCTTCACAACGCTTTTGAACAATCGTATGTAACTTGCGTTTTACTTCATTGTTGTGAGCCGCGAACATAACTCTTGTAACACAAGTAGCAACATACATTGGAACGTACTCCGAGGAGCTTACTATTAAGGCATTAAACCTCCTACTTGACCATCATGTCGGAGACAGGTCAAGCTTTAACCACAGATGGAGTGCCGCACGATTTGGAGGGCGGCGCTGGGGCCGCCGATGAAGAGGCCGAGCTTGCAAAGCTGGAGGCGCAGCTTTATGGCAACGGTGATTATGAAGGAGAACATGGTAGTGAAGATGCCGGCAATACAGAGGCCCAGGTGTGTGAAGGGGTGAAGCGCAATTGGTAATAAGAACTTGGGCAGTTACAGTCTTCTTCCCACTTGACGTCGCGTTTGGCTGGAAGCGCGGTGCATTTGCAGTAAGGATTGTTGATGTTATATAGTGGACATGTCACGCCCGTGTTAGGATAGCGCTGCCGTTGATGGCGTTTCATGCCATCTGACTCCTTCCCCTAAAACAGGAACATTGCAACTTGCACCTTAGCTCTTTCCTCGTCTTTCCATGCCTCATTCTTACCATTCCTGGTCGTCCTTGCCCCGTTGCCAGCCGCACCCCCACCCCCACCGCCCCCGCCTGTACCCTGCACCATCTCTTCATCCCGTCTTCCCTCCCCCCCGCCTCGCCTGTCCCCCCAGGACGGCGATGCAGCTGGTGCAGCTCCCCTCTCCAAGAGCCAGATGAAGAAGCGCGCGCGGCTAGAGAAGTAAGAGGCTGGCGTGCTCCCTGGGGGAGGAAGTGGTCCTACCCGGGGTGAGGGAATTGAGATGACAGCCCTGCGGGCTATAGGGCCTATAGCCGGCTCCTCCTGCCGACGAGCTCCGGACACCCATCCAGCCAGCCAGCGCGTGTCGGTCCCCAGGCAGTACCTTGCACCCTGGGGGGGGGCTGCAGCCGAGCCAACAAGCGTACCCACGCTGCTCCCGTCTCCCCACGCCTGCTGCTGCTCCCCTCCCCCTGGCCCCCTCCCAGGATGATGGCTCGGCGGCAGGAGTGTCGCGCTCGCGAGAAGGCAGCCCGGGCGGAGCGGCGTGCGGCGGCCAGCGAGCGCAAGGCGGCGGAGCTGGCGGAGCTGAGCGAGGAGCAGCGGGCGGCGCTCAGGGAGGAGAGCAAGGTGGGCGGCAGGGAGGGAGGGAGGGAGGGAAGCAGCTTCGTACCCCTCTGCACCTGCATCCCACCCGTAGCTTCTCCGCCACCCTCGTGCACTGAGTCCCTTTCCGCCTTCCCCCCACCCTCGCCCCCTTCCTCCTCTCCGCCACCCTCGTGCACCGAGTCCCTTTCCGCCTTCCCCCCACCCTCGCCCCCTTCCGCCTTCCCCCCACCCTCGCCCCCTTCCTCCTCTCCGCCACCCTCGTGCACCGAGTCGTGCATTTCTTATATAATTTTTCCACCCTCGCCCCCCTCATTCTCCTCCTGTGTCCTCCCCACCACCTCCAGGCCAAGCTGCAGGCGCATCGCGACCAGGAGCGGCAGCTCAAGGAGCGCCTCAAGCAGGTGGGAGGTGGGGGGTGGGGGTTAATAGGGATACATATTCCGCATTAGGCTGAATGCGTGGGGGGAGGTGGGGGAAGAGATGGGGGTCGGAAGGTGGCTCCCATCTTACCCCTTTACCGCTGTACGACTGGACTGGCAGCGTTACGGTGGATTGGTGGGATGACCCGGATTCCCCGCCCTCCTTCCGCAGCACGCCTCCCCCGCAACCCCATACCCTCCCCCCTCCGGCCCGACACTTGCATTGCGGCACCCTGCCGCCTCCTATCCCCATTGCCTTGCCCTAACCTGCGGTTTCCTAAGGTTAGGTATGGTCGTTGCCCCCTACCCCAGGCCCTGGACAGCGGCCCCCGCATCGTGATCGACCTGGACTGGGAGGCCCGCATGACCCCCGGCGACATGCGCCACCTGGCGCAGCAGCTCGCCTTCTCCTACGCGGCCAACAAGGCGGCGGAGCGGCCCGCGCACCTGATGCTGACCAGCTTCAAGGGGGGCGTGGCGGAGGTGGCCAACAAGATGATCTCGGGTGGGAGCGGGAGGGGGGTAGGGGAGGGGGGGCGGGTGGGTATTGGAGAGGGGGATCTGAAAGCGCCGAGGGCCGAAGCGGGAAGCTGTGACGAGGCAGTGGGGGGGATGTAGAAAGGGGTGTGAAGGGGTTCCGCAGTAGAGACAAGTGATGCGGGTTGTGTGTGTGGGGATGGGAGCTGGGTGTTGCTGGGGGTTGGGAGGTAGGGTTGCGTGGGTGGCGCCTGTGTGCTGTGGCGGGTAGCGCCGCCAGGGGGTGTGCAGCCGCCCGCGACCGCATGTCGTACTGGCATGGGGACATCGCGACTCCTCCCCCCTCTCTTCGCCGCTGTGCCTGTCCCCCTCACCACGTCCCTGCTGCTAGTGCGCAACAGCACCAGGTGGCGCATGCGCCCTCGAGCCCCAAACCTACCGCTCCCCGCCCGCCCCAAGGCGCCGTGCTATCCCTCCCTCTCCCTCTCCCCCTCCCCTGCACCCCTACTAACTCATGTACCGCTTGTTCCTTTCAACTCCACCGGGCTCTGGCATCGGGCTTTCTCTAACGGTTTATGAAAACCCCCATCACAATTGTTGCACCCCTAACCCCTGCCCCCTTTCCACCCAGGCATGGACAAGTGGTTTGTGACCCGCAGCGAGGCGCACTACTCCTCCCTCTTCGCCGACCCCGCCCAGCGCAGCCGCCTGGTGTACCTGACTGCTGACGCGGCGGAGGAGCTGGAGGAGCTGAGCGAGGACAAGGTGTACATCGTGGGGGGGCTGGTGGACCACAACAGGTGGGGCAGGGGGGGACAGGGGGGAGAGGACTGGGAAGGAGGGCGTAGCAGCAACACTAGGTGGGGGGTGAGGAGCGCAAGGGGAGAGGGAGGGGGGGGGCGTTTGTAGGGGGTGGGTGGGGGGTTGTGCGCGGGTAAGGACATGCGGTAACAGATGTGGATGGAGCAGCGGTGGTAATGGATTATGGTAACGCGGCCGTCATGAATGGTGCTGCTTTACGAAGGCAAGGTGCAGGAAGGCGGGGAGCATGGGTGCCGAAGATTGCATGCTTGCGGCGCAGCCACGCCCAGCTCCCCGGCGTGCGGGTCCTGTTGGTCGTGTGCTAGCGCAACGCCTGTGCTATCCCGTGCCTTCCCCGCCACCCCTTCCCTTGGTAACCCTCTTAAATGGGCCCCTTCGCCCCTCCTACCCGCGCGCAGGTACAAGGGGCTGTGTGAGAACGCGGCCAAGGCTGCCGGCATCGCCACCGCCCGCCTGCCCATCAACCGCCATATCCAGCTGGCCAGCCGTGCCGTACTAACGGTCAACCACGTGGTCCAGATCCTAGTGGAGTATTACAACCGGCGGGACTGGGCTGCCGTACTGGACCACGTGCTGCCCATGCGCAAGCGGGCAGAGTACCAGCAACAGCAGCAACAGCAGGGCAAGCAGAAGGGGGGGCAGCGAGGGAAGGGGCAGCAGCAGGAGGGCGAGGCGAAGGAGGATACTGCGGCGGCAGAAGAGGCGGGAACGTGGGTGGTGGGCTTCGAGGAGGAGGAGGCCGGCAAGGTTGAGGGCGCTGGAACGACGGGGACGGCCTCGGAAGTTGCGGCAGCAGATACGGGGGCGGAAGTGGGTTCGTCGGAGGCTGGAGGCGGAGAGGGTGAGGCTGTTACGGGAGGAAGTCGGAATGGGGTGGCGGCAGAGGGGGAGGCGGCTGCAGCGGCAGGGGGGGTTGTAGGGGAGGCAGGGGAAGGAGAGGAGGCGGGGAGAGGAATGAAGCGGAAAGCGGACGGGGAGCCGGGCGCAACGGAGTAGTGAACGCAACTGAGGGTCGGGCCGTCATGGTAGCAAGGCTGTCGGATTCAATCAGGCAGGAACAGTAGTGGCTGACGGGAGGAGACCTAAGCCAGCGTTGTGCTAGTTGCAAGGCAGTAGGCATAGTTTGCTTAACCCATGGGACGCCCGTTGTGCTTAGCACCAAAGCATATATCGGCTAGATAAGTATCGTAAAGCTTAAATGCCGGGTTGTGGTTCCACTGCTGCAAAATAAATGCCGTGCTTGCATGGCGCGCCTCGTTGTAACGACTCTTCCCCGTCTTTTATCTGTGATCTCCACCGCTAGATGCTCTGTCATATAGTTAATATTGACCAGGATATCTAACAGAAGCCTTGTGAAGAAAACCCTTTTCGTGCAACTCTGTTTATAATTGGTGATGACCAGAGCACTACTAGCGTGCGCAGCCCCGTAGAATATCTATACAGCAAACATTAACTGGGGACACCTCACGGCCTTTGGCAAAGGCGGAGCGGCAGCTGTTGTGGTAGACGCGCGTGCTCAATTGTGCACGCGGTCAGCTACCCTTTTGCTCCAAACCTGGAGTGGTAAACATAAAACAAAACATATTTGTGGTCTATAGCTGCTCATCCTTAAATTCAGTCAACCGCTTGGTCAAGAGACCACGTGCATTGGACAAGCTGTTGTGAGGGCGGCGCCGGGCGTGCCCTCCGGGCACTTCGGCGCGATGCTAGCCATGGCACCCGATCCTGAACCACTTCTGTCCTCATACGTCTTCAATTACACGCACCGGCCACGGCGTGATAAAGGATGGGCGTTGGCTTATTCCCTTCTGCTGCTCCTGACGCTCGGATGGGCGCTTATTAGCTTAATACTTAGGTATGGTGTCATGGACCAGCGCGAATTTCGGGCTTAATGGTACATCCGTGCTATTTGCCCACGCAAGCGACCAAACTGCCGCAACTTAAGCCACCACAGCCGCATGTTGTCCGGGCGTTGCAGCTGGCCATGGGGGGGGTCCTCCGCCAACCCTTCACGGTGCTCCCTGCCCTTCTTTCCTCCCATCACCCTTCCGTCACCCCTCCCGCGAGCAGGCCAGAGCTGGCCTCCATCCTGTCCGGAGGCTACCTGGACGACCCCGCCCACTGCCCCCAGACCCTGGACCTGCCCCTCAACCTCAACCTTCCCTCGCACCAGCCGCATGACCTGCAGCAGCTCACGGCATCCTCCGCCTCCTCCGCTTCAACATCTTCACCGCACCACCAGCAAAGCACCATGGCCGCCTTCCTAACCTGCGCTGGCGCATCCGCACGGGAATACCTCTTCCCCGCCGCCCTACGCCACCCCTACCTCCCTCCCCACCCCGACCCCCACCACCTGCCAAGCGGGCTAGTCAACACCTCCAACCCCGCCTCAGTCTCCGCTTCCCCCACCTCAGCCTCCTCCACTGCCGTCCACCGCCGGCTCCGGGCCTCGGAGCAGTGGACCGCTGGTGGGGTCATGAGCGCTGATCTCCGCGGCGAGGACACCACCACCGCAGCTGCAGCAGCGACCGCGGAGGGCTCGGCAGTAGCAGCGTCACGTGCAGGCGCAGATGCATCGGCAGTGAAGAAGAGGGCAGCTGCCGCTGCAGCAGCCGCTGCTGCAGCCGCAGAGGCGGCAGCAGAGGAGGCCGCAGCAGCGGCGGCCGCTGCTGCTGACGCAGCCGCCGGCGCCGTACCGCGTGCCTTGCTGCAGTACGGCGGTTGGCTGCTGCTGGCTAGCCTGGTAGCTGCGGTGGCGGTTGCGGGGCTGTTCCTGGTAGCGTTGCGGGTGCGGCCCGGGTCGCTGGTGCTGCTGGCGTGCGGGCTGCAGGTGGCGGCGCCGCTGGGCTCAGCGGTGGTGGCCAGCAGAGCGGGTGAGGGGGGAAATGAAGCAATGGAGAGGGGGAGGCGGGGAGGGAGAGGGATGAGGGGGCTGGGGCCGTAAGGGCGTTTGAAGAGGGTTACCCGAACTGCAAATGGGGGCACAGGAAGGGTGAGGATAGGCGTAGGGGAGGGTAAGAGGGCAAAGGTTGTTTGGCAGGGGGCGTACGGGTGGCAAGCGCCCTAGGTTACTCTGCCCCGTACCATACCAGGCCGGTTCCTCCCATACCCACATGGCCGCATCCGTTTACCCCCAGTCCTGATCCGCGCACGGCCCCCTCCCCCCCTAGTGGATAGTGTCTCCAAGTGCGCTCACTGTATGAGTCGGGACATGGGATTGGGACTCGTTGTTTCGCTTACCTAATTTTTTCCCCTCCCCCCCTCCCGCCTACACACCTTCCCAGGCAACAGCACCCTTGCTCTGCTGCTGCTGCTAGTCGCCGCCGCACTCGCCATCTCCCTCTTCTGCGCCCGCGACGCCCTCGTCCTCGTCTCCCGCCTGCTGGCCCTGGCCGCCGCCGCCCTGCGCGACAACCCCGCCCTCCTCGCCCTCGTTGCCGCGCTGAAGCTCGCCCTCGCCGCCGCCACCGCCGTACTCCTCACCGCCGCCGCCGTCATCACCGCCGCCGGCGACGTGGTGCCCAACCCCCTCCGCGGCGCCGGCAACCCCGCCTGCACCACCCCCCAGGGCCGCCCCGTCACCTGCTGCGCGCTGGCGCCCTCCGCCTGGCTGCCCGCCGCCCTGCCCGCCGCCGCCCTAGCGCTGGTGTGGACGGTGCTGCTGCTGTGGGAGGTCAAGGTGTATGTGGTGGGCGGGGTGGTGGCGCAGTGGTACTTCGCACCCGGGGGAGCGGCTGCGGCGGTGGGGGCGGAGGGGGCGGGAGGAGGAGGAGGAGAGGGAGTGGATTGCTGGGCTGGCAACGGGGGTTACCAGGACTACTCGCTCCACCACTACCACAACCACCACCATGCGCATCATCACCATCATCATCATGAGGAGGAGAGGGAGCAGGCGGAGGGGTGCCGGGGCGGCAGGTGCAGGAGCGGCTACTCCTCCCTGCGGGCGCTGGGGGTGTCGCTGGGTCACGCGCTGGGCCCCTCCTTTGGCTCGCTGTGTGCGGCGGGCGGGCTGCTGGGGGCCACTGCGGGGGTCAGGGCGCTGGTGAACAGGTGGGCGGGGACAGGAGGAGACGAGCACAGGCCGGGGGATTAATTTGGAGACGTAATCCGCCTCCGGGGGAGGGAGAGGCAAGAAGAGTGGAAGGAAGGGAAACAGGGTATGAGAGAAAGGGGATGCGGTGGCAATGGATAGTCCGATGGATGGCGCACCTGGCGTGGGTGTCGATCTTTGGTGAAGGAGCCGTGCTTAACTGAGTGCCATCCATACCTCTCCTCTCGTGAGGAGACGCCAAACCCCCCTTCATCCCCCACCTCCCTCTCACCCCCAGGTTCACTCCCCGGCCGCAACAATTCGCAACCCTGCAGTACCGCGCCCCACCCGGCGGTGCCCACCCCCCGCCTCCGCCCCCCGCCCCAGTCGCCCCCTCCTCCTTCTCCTGCCTGCCCGGCTGCTTGTGCAGCGCCTGCTGCTGCTGCTGCGGCTGGCTGGCTGGGCTGCTGGCGCAGCTGAGCGGCTTCGCGACGCTGCAGATGAGCCTCAGCGGGCTGGGCTTCTGGCGGGCGAGTGGGGAGGTGCTGGCGCTTATGAGGCGGCACGGCATGGACGTGTACAACATGTGGTGAGAGGGCAAGGGTGAAGGAGGGAGAAGGTGGGAGGAGGAGAGGGAGAAGGGGGTGGGGGGAGCCATGGTGGGGGCATTGGTGGGCTCTGGACCCGGCTGTCCGTAGGGTGATGAAGGAGGGAGCCGGCGGAGGTGAGCGAGCGAGGGCCCGAGGGGTGGCTTGGCTGCTCCGCACTGGTTGCCACGACATGGGGCTGGGGCGGCTTGGGGCGGTGGGGGTGGCCGGTGGAATGTTGTGAGCATGTGACTGCTTTGCAAAGGGCTGCTTTGGTGGGTCAGGGTCCTCAGGGGGCGCTGGCGGAGGGCGGAGGGCGTGCTCCTTCCTCCCCTTTCCATCCATCCGCGTCCATCCCGACGCCGCCAACCTCCTCCATCATCCCTTACCTCCCCTCCCTCCTAGAGTAGTTCTTGCTGTTGCGCTCACTGCAAGGGTCAGGATATGGGATCGGGACTCCAGTGCTTGACTTCCACTCACCGTTCCCTCCCTCCCCCCTCCCCCCCAGGTGGTACCTGCCCATGGTGCTCCACTGCGGCTCAGCGGCCTTCGCCACCGCCTGGGGCTGCACCGCCTACTGGCTGGCGGCGCGAACCCACTGGCTGCACCTCCACCCAGACTCCCCTGCACCACCACCTGACGTCCTCGCCTCACACCATGGCGGAGCCGGGGGTGCAGGGGGCTCCCCTGCTGCTGCTGCCGCCTCCGCCGCCGCGCTGGGGGTGCTGGCGGGCTGCAGCGCCGCGCTGCTGCTGGGCTTCCTGAGCAGCCTGCTCGCCAACATCGCGGAGGGGCTGTTCCTGTGCTGCGCGCACGACAGGGACAGCGGCGCCGTCACCTGGAGGGAGCTGCACCGGCTGTGTGCGGAGCTGCCCTGCTGCGCGGAGGCGAGGGAGGCAGCGGCAGGGACTGCAGGACTTGGAATGCTGGACTCGTCTGTGCATAATGTTAGCTTGCATGGGGGGCTAGGAGTAGGAGGAGGGATTTCGTACGGTTATGCGGTGCCGCCCTTGGCGTCTTCACAGCAGCAGCAGTATGTGCCGTACGGGTATCAGGTAGTGCCGGCGCCGCAGCCGCTGCCTCCACTGCCTTACGGCGCCTCTCAACTCCAGCACCACCACCACCTCCACCAGTATCCCGCCCATGCGGCTGCTCCAGGCGGGGCTGCAGCGACCTTCAGCACCCCGCATGCGCAGCTGGGGCAGCCGGTGGGGGGATACAGCAGCCAGCAGCGGGGGCAGCCGCAGCAGCAAGGGTACGGCGCAGGTGGGGGCTTCTGGGGCTGGCTTCGGAGCCCCAGGAGCTCCCTGGGAGGAGGGGGACTGTACGGCATGCCGGTCGGGGCCGGTCGTGCCGGCGACCGTTACCGCAACGACCGGCCGCAGTACCCGCCGCCCGCGGTGCTGTCTCCGCCGTACTCAGAACAGCGGTACCCCATAAGGCCCGCACCGCCACCGCCGCCTCAGCCCACGACGTTTATGCCGTTCTTTGGGTCTCCTTCGCGGCACGGGTAGGATAGGGTAGGGTAGGCTGGCGAAGAAATGAGCTGACGTTAAGATGCGAAAAAAGGGTCAGGGCCTGTGCGGCTATATTGTCGCTCGTTAACATGGTCAATGCCAACATACAATGGCATCGCAGGAGTGCAGCACATTACTTGTATATGCAGTATCGGATGCACGGCTATCGTTGTCCTGTATGCTGGGGAGTAGTGGGTCCATGCGGCCTGGAGTAGTAGCCGGTAGTCGGCGTGTGTTTAGGGGGCTTTCAGCGTGCGGCGGCAGCGTGCCGAGGTGCGCTGACGCTGGGTGCTGTGTCATGTCTTATTCCGCCGAGCTGTTGCAAGGTACGTGGCGAGGACCGCAGAGGGCACAGCGGTGGGTTGGGTGCTCGTAGTGGCCAACAAGAAGCCGAACGGGCGTAGTACGATATTTGTGAATGCGAGTATACTGCGGCGCGCGTGCGCATATCGGCATGTGCAGTGAGACCATTATTGAAAAATGATTGAGGCTGGAAGAGCGAAGAGGCCACACTCTGCGCCTATGAAAGGCAGTCGGAACATTGCCGTACCTCGTGTGTGCTTGTTGTATACTCACTAAGGACATAAGTGTGACGTACTTCCTTCGCTACGCCCTCCCGTACCGAAGCTACCTCTCCTCGCTACCACCACCCGCCACCCCCTACTCCTCCGCCCGCATCAGGTGCTGCTGCAGCAGGGCCCCCAAGTCCCACCCCGCCGCTCGGAAGCACGCATGCAGCCGCACCACCCGTCCCTGCAGCAGGTCCCCGCACCGCACAGTGCAACCCAGCGTTGCCCCGGACCCGGACCCCTGCCACCCCTCCACTGCCCCTATCAGACGACGTTCCATACCAGCACGCGCACCATCCATGTCGGCCTCACCGTCCCCTTTCCCGTCCTCCCCTTCCGCTCCCCTCCCCTCCAGCACCGCCCCCAGCCCCTCCAACAGCGCCCCCCGCACGCCCGCATGCCGCACCGCCAGCGCACACAGCAGCGGCGGCGACACAGCCGCCAGCACCGCAGCAGGCCGCCGGGCCAGTGCCGCCGCAAGCAGCGAACGACACAGACGGGCCACTCCGCGCTCCGGACCCTCCTCCGCCCTCACATGTACCCCTTCCTCCGCCCCTTCCCCACCGCAAGTCCACTCCCCACCTTCATCCCGACTTCCCTCCCTGAGCCACTCCATCACCGTCGCTGTCTCCGCAGCGGCCCCCTGCTGCCCCGCTCCCGTCCCCGCCCCCTGCTGTGCCAGCCGCGCCAGCAGCTCCGCCCAGCCCTCCGCCAGCGCCGCCGCGCCGCACAGCTCCGCTAGCGCCGGTACCTCACACAGCGCCCGCACCGCACCCTCACACTCCCACTCCGCCTCTGCTCCGGCTGCTGCGGCGGCCCCCGCCGCCGGGCCTTTTCTGCACCACGTATGCGCGGCATCCATGTCCCAATCGCCTGAGTCCTGCGGTGCCGGTCCCCCGCTGTCCCCCGCCCATCTCCGTCCCTGCAGCCCGCCCGACTGGTGCTGCAACGGCACGCCGTACAGCAGCTGTCCTGCGGCCATGCTGCACTGGAAGTCCGGGCTGAGCAGGAACTCCGCCAGCTGCCCCGCTGTCACCTCCACCTCCTGCTCTTCCTCCTTAGCCACTCCTTCACCCTCGCAACTAGCACCCCTCCGCTCCACCCCGTCCCTAGGACCCTCGCCGCTTTCCTGACGCCAGGCGCCCCTACCTGCGCCAGCGCCCTTTGCCGCCGCTGCTGCTGCTGTTGCCCTAGGCAGGTCCCCCTCCTCCTCTTCTCCCTCCTCCTCCTGCTGCCCCCACGCAGCCTGCATGACCCCCATCTCCGCCGCCAGCCCCGCATGCCGCGACAGCACCGCAGCCAGCAGCGAGAAGCAGCCGTCCAGGAAGCCGACGTCGGTGGCAGCAGGGGGAGACGGAGGGGGAGCAGGGCTGGGCGGGCTGCTAGTGCTGTTGCCAGCACCCCGCCAGGCTGCCTCCCGCAGCGCTGAGCGGCAGTAGGCGGAGATGACGTTGGAGGCCGCGGTACGGCGCTGGCGGGTGTGCGGAAGGGCGGCGGCAGCGGCCAGGCAGCCGTCTAGCAGGCGAACCAGGGAGCCACCTAGCGCGAGGGAAGAGGCGGCGGCGGCGGTGTGGAGGTGGTGTAGCGGGTTGGGGTCTTGAGGGTATGAATCTGGGGGGGCCTGAGGAGGCAGTGAGGACAGGAGAGGACGTGGGAGGGGTTGTTGGTTTGTAGGCGGGTGTGTCTGCACGAAAGCCATAGGTCGGTATAAGCGAAAACCATTTACGGGTGGACGGAGGAGAATAATTTGCAATGAAAACGGCAAAAACGTTCGTCGGGGCGTAGTACAATTGCGGTGTCATGCAGCGAGGAACGTGTTCTGTGCCAACGCACAATGGACGCACAACACCCACCTGGTTGGTAACGTCCGGCTGCTGAGGTAGGATACCCGCGTGGCAAACGGAAAACAGCTGTTGAAGTGGAAGGTGACTTAAAGCTTTGTCCTGGCTAAGCAACCATGCCTGAAAAGCATCCGCGATGACCCGTTCACAATAGCTGTAAGGTTGATACATTTTCAGAAACTGCTTCTCTAGACAAGTTTGATGGGATGCTTGTGTAAGCAATACATTGCAGGTCTGCAACCACTACTGATGCCGTGCTGCGCGCCAATAAAGTACCGGTACGGCATTGGCTCGTTTATGTGCGTCCTAAGGCCTTCCAACACATACTATAATCTCGTTACACCATGCATTATGTCTAGCGATCTCTTGACAGAGCTTCAACGTCATTTTCGCGACGTAAATGACCAGTTTGCAGCCATCATAGAACAACTTGTCCACATAGCGCCACCTGTGCCCGTTGAAGGCGAAGGCATACCGCCGAATTCAGCTGAGCTACAGGCGAAAGCGCAGGAGCTGTCTAAGGGCCTTGCTCAGCGCTTCAAGGACATAAATGCGCTTATAGACAAGCTGCCGGACCTACGTGAAACGCAAGAGCAGCAGGACGCACGTATAACAGCTCTGCTGCAAGAGCATCACGCGTTGCGGAAGGAGTTGGGCACGGCCATCCAGGACACGGAGCGCAAGCTGGAGGAGGTCCACGGGTGCTACGAGGTGCTTTCACAGCACGCTCTCACGCAGGCTGGGAAGATGGTAGGAGGAGACTTGTGAGGGTTGGGGACTGTGGTGCTGGTATGTACGCTGGGACGGTCTTGCTGATCCTGTATGAGAAAGACAGCACAGGGCAGGTAGCTAGGCTTGGCTTACCGCTTAAGTATTGGGCTGGCATGAGCGGGGCTGCTCTCTAGATCGCTGGTATCGCGGGACGACGGCTGCTGCGTAGCACCGGTTTGTCGTGGGACGGCCGGTTTCTGGCCCTCGGACCGGACCACGATGCGCCCGTCAGGGGGGTAAAAGGGTGGATTTCTTGTTTCCAATGAGGGTGAAGGATGACTGGCTGGCAGCGGCAGTCGGGAGGGGGGCAGGATGTTGCTGGTAGGTTGGCTCTGTACTTTTGGTTGGCTCATGTGGAGAGGGAAGAAAAGTATAATTAACTCATGGTCATTGCAGGATGTCGGATGAAGCATGCCCGCTTACGAGGCCCCCCTTACTCGCTGCCGTCTACGATAGAGCCCGCCAGGGCTGCGCATGATGAGACAATGTGTGGTTACGGTTGGATGCGGCATGGAGGATTGCGCGGCTCCTTGCCCCTTCCCCCTCCCATGGCGTTTCGTATGTCACGGTGCATTGCGGATGGAAGATCGGGCGGTATGGTTGCTTGCGTGGCCTCCCTTGACCTCTTGCATGTTTCCCATCTCTCACAGTGACGTGGCGATGGGGGGTTGCTGGTTTGCATGGGGGAAGGAGTTCAGGCGGCTGTTACCATGGTACTATTGCTGTCTCACTGCCCTTGTAGCGCTGCCGACACTCTCTGTTTACCAAAGTGTGGCCCTGTGTGTCGCCACCTACTTAAGCCTAGGTCACGGAGGGTTTTACTCTAGCCCCCCTCTCGTGTTTCTGGGTTACGTCGCAGCGGCAGTAATAGGTGGTGGGCGCCAGTAGCGATTGAACGAGTATGAACCTGATATCGAGAAGTACCATACTGTGTAGATGCTGCCGCACCCGTGGTTAGTGTACGGGGCGCTTGAGCAACTACACGGATGTTTCCAGCGCACGCAAGACACCCGGTAGCGGTAGGGTAGGGTACGGACAAGCCAGCCTCCAGCTGCCACCAGCACCTCCGTAACCTCAGGGTCCCAAGGCGCTACGACGAGGGTTAATGCGTCAACTCTTACTTGCCAGAACGTCGTAAGCGATGAGACCTCGCACCAAGCCCCCACCTCGCAAGTGGATGCCCCTCTTGACAAAGCAGCCGTGGCACAGCACCCTCAATACATTAGTGAACACCGCCAAGCTCAGCACCCGTACATCAACACCTACGCTCGGAGCGGCGGCTCGGAGATTCAGCCGTGCCCTGAACCAGCGACGACTTGACGCGCGGAAAGTAGGTGTGAGATTCCACCCACTCACTCACTCACTGCTGTGAGGCAGGCGCCTGCTGCTGCGCTCCGGGGCAGCCAACGTCACGGCAGCTTGCAGCTCCCCCTGCCGCTGTTGCTCCATCGCTGCGGTACGCCGCCTACCCTAGACGCCCAGCTTGGCCAGCTGCTCCTCCAGCTGCTGCACCTCCTTCTCCCTGGGGGCAGGGGAGACAGCGCACGGCACGCAGGGGGGGTTACCGGTAGGCTTGGAAGGGACCATTCCTGCCGACATTTCTGGGGCAGTGGGGCCCCCGACATACGGCACGCGCATCCATCCCGGCATGCATGACCGGCGCGTGGTCTCTCATGAGTTCTAACGCACCATGCAGTTGCACTTGCAGTCCCCCTCACATCATCCCCCATCCCGCCCGGGGTACGGTAACACCTCCCGCTCCCCCCCCCCTACGCACCACTCCGCCCCCCTGGCCAGCTTCTCCTCCTGGTCCTTGTCCAGGCTGCCGCCCGCAGCGCGCTTCTCCGCCAGGTCAGCGCACTGCCGTACCTTCTTGCGCAGCGTGCGGATCTGCTTCTCCAGCGCCGCCTTGGGGTCCTCGGGGGCAGCAGCGGGGGCAGGGGCGGGAGCAGCAGGCTGGGCGGATGCAGCCGCCGAGCTGCCGTTACCGCTGCTGCTGCGTTAGGGTAGGTGCGGGGAGGAATGGGGTAAGTGTATTTGTAAGGGAAACGTCGGGGGAGGGCGCAGCGTTGGATGGAAGATGGCAGCGAGTCCAACGGCCGTGGCATATGGTTTCGGGCCTTGACTGTAACGGGAATGCAGGGCAAGTCGGGGCGGTAACAAGTTCATGCGCAACATGTACGCTGGGAAGAGAGTGGCGGCAGCAGCGTAGCGCACCTTGGTTGTTGTTGTGTGGCAGCAGGCTTGGGCTTGGCTGGTTGGCTGGAGGGGTTCGAGGGCTTCTTGCCCTTGGCCGCCTGCTGCTTTAGCGCAGCAACTGAAGACAAGTCCAGGAGGGGGGAAGGCTCAGTGGTTGCTTATGGGATAAAGCGGAGATAACCCCTGAATGAGACTCTCCACAAGTTGTCACTTACCCTCGGCCTCATCCATGCCCGGGCAGGTTGGCACGTTTTGCTTTGCCTGCAAGTTTGGCAGCCTCAGGCTCTCCGTATACCACAGCAAGCTCGGAGTAAGAGCCCCACCGGGGAGCGTGTACTTACCACTGTCCCACGCGATTGATACACCGGCTGCTCATCCTGCGGCGTGTATCCAGCCCGAATCCGGCGTTCCTTCCGAACCGTTCCATCTGGTCGCACACTTCCAGCAATAACACGCTCGCCGGTCTCCAGAGTGGTCGCTTCAGTGAGTTTCCGATTCATTGTATTAACGGTAAGCGCAAGCTGGCTAAGAGGGAATATATAAAGGTAGAACTCGTAATGCGATACCTACAAGGTATTTTTTATAGGAACACCTCAGCGAGGTAACTACAGCGTCAGTGCAGTCATCGTCTTAATCCTTAGTAAAAAGCTCGCAAAAGGATAGTTCTCTGCAAAGCTTTATTGACTCTTTCTATAGAAGTACCCGCGTGGACGCAGGTTCAACAAAAGCTGCGACCCATTCGGACGTGGCCTTCGCTTCCCGTATCGCATGCGTGCTCATACGTTATAACCAGAAGTGATATATAGTCAAAAAGTGCTTGTAATGAACCTTACAAGTAAGTATGTAGCCTCTGCTTCGTGCTGCCAGACCCAAGGACCACATCTACGCTGCTTTGGAAGCAACCCCACATGCGGTTCATACATGCGTCCTTAACATACAACATAAGTAGTAAATGTTACTGTATAGTCTTGAGGGCAGCATCTTAGCTCGTCGACATGCAAGGCGCCCTTCGGTATGATGCTGGCATTATGCCCGGCTCCCAGGACACACACGACAGCGAGGGCTCTCTGGGCCTTGGGCTGTCGGACTTTGCCGTATCCCAAGGGGATCAGTTAGCGGCCTCTGGTGGCGCCGGCCCCGGCTTCGGCGCCGACCCATTCAACCCACCCGCAGCTCTCCCCGTGCAACGCTCCTCACACCAGCAGCACGCAGGCGAGGACTACGCAGGCGGACAGTGGCCAGCCCCCGACAACCCCGCACGCCGCAGACCCTCCCCACCCGCGTCACTTCCTCACCCCGTACCGACCCAAGCCCAGCCTCCTCCACCACCATCCCGTCCGCCGCAGCCTCCGGGCCGCCCCGGCACAACACCACCCCGCAACGCCGTACCTCCCTCCGCCCTCCCCCTACCCACCCCTTCCTACCCGGGCGCTGCAGCCCCCTCCCCACCCCCACACGCCCCGCCGGCCCCCATCAGCGCCCTAACTGCCACTCCAGGCGGCGGCGGCGGCTCCTCGGCCGCCGGCAGCCAGCGCCTCACCCCCAACCTCTTCAATCACATCCGCAGCCTGGGCGGCTTCTTCATGCGCAGCGCCACTCCGCCCCCGGGCGGCACTGCCGGCCGAGGCGGCGGTGGAACCAACAGCAGCGGCGGTGGTGGCGGTGCGGTCTTAGACGGCGGCGGCGGCGGCCCCCTGGCTGCCGGCGGGACCCGCGGTTCGGCTGCCCGCAGCAGCTCCGCAGGCGGCGGCAGCCTGGGGGGCACCAGCAGTGCCGGCAAGACGCCCCCGCGCACCTCACAACCGCCGCCGCCCCTCCCGCCGCAGTCGCTACCGCGCCCAGGATCTGCCCCGCCGCTGCAGCCCCAGTACTACCAGCAGCACCAGCATCAGCCGTTACGCATGCCGGGCAGTGGGGGAGCTGCGGGTGGTGGACCCATGGGTCGTGCTCCCATGCTTCCTGGTGGGCTGCCCCCGGGGGCCGACCCGCAGCGCACCTACCACCCACAGCAGCAGCGGCAGCAGCAGTGGCTACAACGGCCGCAACGTCCCCCGCAGCAGCAGCAGCGGCACACCAGCCCGGCTGCGTCAGCTGCATTAGCGGCGGCGGCTACGGTGGCTGCGGTGGCAGCGACGGGGCAACCGGGAGGCGGTGGGAGCCAGCTGGGCTGGGATCCGCGGGGGAGCCCGTACGGCAGCATGGGAGGCGGGGTCAGCATGATGGGGCCGGGCAGCAGCAGCGCGGCTGGGGCCGGCGGCACGGTCGTGAGGGCTTCTGGGGTGCAGCTGGGCGGCGGTACGGCACCGCTAGGGCTAGGACAAGATGTACGGCATGCCTATCACCACCGAAACACCTCTTCCTCGGGCGGCGCCGCCACCTCTACGAGCATAGGTGCTGGAGCTTCGGGTGCAGCGGGTGTGATGGGCGGTAACAGTGTGGGCATCGGCGGCGGCGGGCGCGGCTTCAGTCAGGAAGTGGGTGAGGACATCCGGCAGCAGCAGGACCAGCAGCCACAGCAGCAGCTGCTGCTGCGGGGGTCCAGGCAGGAGGGGTCTTGGGGTGCGGCGGGAAGGGGCATGGCTGGGTCTGTCAGGTCGGAATCCGCTGGTGCAGCAACAGCAACTGAGAGCGCTTCGGTGGATGAGGCAGAGCAGCGGGCCGCAAAGGAGGCGGCGGTCAGAGCGGGGGCTCAGGTGCTGGTGGGGGCGCCAGTGGCGCTGAATCCGGGGTTCAAGACGCTGCAATTGTTGGTGCAAGCAGAGCGGAAGCCTGGTGTGGTGGGGCAGCAGCCTGATTTGCTTCGGTGGCTGGAAGCGATTGGATACACAATTGCTGGCGAGACGCCAGAAGTGACACGCCGCACGCTGTGACAGGCGTGTGAGGATTACCGATGGTGGAGTTTTATTCTATGGGCACATAGAGGCAGGGTTTTGAAGCCCGGTGATAATTGTAAGGGAATGACAAGCTCCTTGCACGCGGGTAAGGAGTGCGATTACCTCTTGCGAGTCCGGCTTGGCACTACGGCAACAACGTCAGTTGCTGCAAGTACGGAGGCGAAGCAACGTTATCAGTTCCTGGTTGTAAGTTTGATTACTAGCAATAATCTAACGCGGAAGGTATGCTCGGACCTAGTGCTCACGAATGAAGGGACTTACAGAGAGATGGGCAAGCTGGTGCCCAAGAAGCGCGCGCCGCCGTTGGCAGTTCCCAGCTTTGAAGCAGACATTCATAAACTAATTGACACATTTGTCCTGAAGGTACGTGGCACCGTAGGCCTGTTGTGTTCTTTTAGTCGTCATCGCTATGACGGATACCCTTGTTCTTGCAGGTCCAAGAAGGGGCCACAGTACGATTGCAAACATTTAAGGAATTATGGAGAAGCTCTTCATTTTCTTTTGTGCACCAGGCAAGTCAACCCACCTCACTAATGTTGGCGCGAATTTTCCATCTAACCGATACGCACGCCGACGCAGGCTGTTCCCCTAAATATTCCAGCATGGGATCACTTGCAGCTATTGTACTCCGTGGCGCTGAATCGCCTGGCGGACCCGAGCCCCTACCTAGATTACAAGCCAGAACCTGGGGAGCCCGTGTTTGACGAAAACGGGCAACCTGTCTCAGGCCCCAAGCCAAAGCTACCAGGCCGGACACGGGCGACGGCTGCTTCGCAGCCGGGGGAATCGACCACCACCACAATCGATGCTAACGGTACAAATGCTGCCGCGTCAGGTAACGGTAATCCCGGCGGCACGGGCGGCCCGGCAGTGGACCTGGACCTGCCCGATTACGAATTGCTTGCGCAGCTGGACGAGATGTTCGCCGGAGTGCTGGACCAGCACCCGCACCTATACCAGGAGGAGCCACAGCCTCAACCGCACCCACATCCGCAGCTCCTAGACGCGCACGGGCACCTCGCCCCGCACCCGCATGCGCCCGCCGCTGCCCCGGTGCTCCCTCACCCAGCCTGGCAGGGAACAGGCAGCGAAGCGCACGGCCAGCTTTTCGCTCCACCGCTACCGCAGCAGCAGGGGCAGCTCCACCTCACGGCCCTGCAGCCGGAGCTCCTGTTGCATGGCCCCGCTGCGGCCCCGGGGGACCCGCACCAGCGCCAGCTCCTGCCTTGCCCACCGCCTCCTCCTCCTCCGCAGCAGCAAGAGGACCTCCAGCCATGGCAGATGGGGCTTGAGCCAGACCACCATCACCGCCAACAGCAGCAACATCAAGGGGCAGATCAGGCACCGCCACCTCAGCCGCCGCCCACTGCGCAGCTGCTGCCCCCCCTGCTGGCGGGGCTGGTGGGACAAGCGGCAGGGGGCGACATGCAGGGGCCTGGGCTAGGACCGGGTGCAGGGCTGGGGCTGGGTACAGCGGAGGAGGATGACTATGACGTGGCGCCCGCCGGTGCGGTGGAGGAGGGGCTGACGGCGGAGGCGGCAGCTGGGCGACAGGCAGCAGCCGGTGCGGTTCAGGGTGGTGGCGGCGGGGCAGCAGGTGGTGGTGGCGAGAGCGGCAGCTGCTTACCGCAAGCAGCCGCTCCGGATGGGGGCGTGGGGCTGGAGCAGTTGCTGCCCTCGCCGCTGAGGGGCGCACTGCTGCTGCAGGAGCAGCAGCAGCAGGAGCTACACGCACCCTTGCAGGAGCTCGCACTTTTGGCCGCACCACCACAGCAGCAGGACCTGCAGCTGCCCGGGCTCGATGCTGGCTCGGCGGGAAGCGGTGGCATGCAGCCCGAGGCGGGTAAGGAGTGCGTTGTTGGGGGCTTCCTGCCCCCAAAACCTGCCCTTCTTCCGCCCTGTTTGCTGTGTTTAGAAGTCACCGCTCTGTTACGTCAATGTTACTGTACACCGTGTTCGCTGTGGAAGCCGTGGATGAGGCACCCTATAGGGCTCCCTCCCCACATTTGACACCAACGCGAGCCCCACCTTCGCACCAACGCATCCGTGTTGCGGATCCGACCCGAGTCGCCGAATATGACCCCGCATGTTGCTGGTGCTGTCAACCCCTGACGTTATGTGTTACCCCCGGCCCCCGTTTGCTGCTCGCAGGTCCATGGCTGCTGCCCATGGCGCCCTCGCCGCCGCCCGGGCTGCTGCAGCCCCCTGCTTCCAGTGTTGCTGCCGGACCCGCAGTGGGCCTCCTTCCGCCTCCACCCGATGCTGCCGCCGCTGCAGCACCGCCCCAGCAGCCTTCCCTGCTTGCGCCTGCTGCATGCCCCACTGCTGCTGCAGGCGCAGCACCCATGGAGGTTGATGTGGATGGGGGCGCACCGGCAGGGGGTGAGATCGCGGCTCCGGCGGCACCGCTCCCAGCGGCAGCCGCTGCGGCCCCAGCAGCAGCCACGTCGTGTGCATCACATGCGCACCCCGCCCCGCAAGGCTACGGCGACTCGTCAGCCGCTCAGCAGCTGCCTCTGCTGCTCCTCCCTGCCGGCACCCATTCGGAGCCGCCCGGGCTCCCACCCCACCTGGGATCCGAAGCCCCGACTCCGCCGCTGGTTCCGGAGCAGCAGCAGCCCCTGCAGCATGCTGGCGCCCCCGCCACTTCCGCACCCACCACTGCTGCTGCTGCGCCTCCTACCTGCTCGCTCCCTCTTCCTCCCGGCCCTTGCGGACCCACAGCAGCCGCAGCGGGTTTGCCCCCGGGCGCCGGAGGCTGGCCGACAAGCACACAGTCCGCAGCAGCGGCAGCAACGGCGGCTACGGCTCCAGCAGCGGCGCTACCTCTCCCTGTCGATGCTGCCGCCGTTATCGCTGCGCCGCTGCCCCTCCCCGCCACCCTCATTCCAGGCGCCAACCCGCCGCCGCGGCCGCCTCCGATGCTGCCGCCTGCGCTGCCCCCTCCCGGCCCCGACGTGCCGCTGGCTGCTCGGGCGGGTGCAGTCTTCGCGTTGTACTGCCTGTACGGCACGCAGCTGTGCCGGCCGCGTGTGCGGGTGTACGTGCCGCTGCCGCTGCTGGCCTCGCTGGCGGGGACGGTGACGGAGGCGGCGGCGGGCGGCTGCGGGGACGTGGTGGCGGTGGTGAGGGTGAGTGAGGGGGTCGGGGATGAGGACGGGAGGTGGGGGAGGCGGTGGCGGGTGAGGCTCTGTGAGTGGGGATTATGTGTGTGCTGGCTTGGTGATTGTGGACGGGCGAGCGGGGGTGGGAAGCCGGGTATGCGCCAACCTTGCCGTGTCGAGGACAACGCACTCCCCGTTCGCTTACGCGACTAGCGTATCAATGGTATACGCGGACTCCCTCAGCGCGCAAAACCTCCTGTTGTACTGCACGGCTCTGCGCGCGTTTCAGCACTCCAGCCAAGCTTCACTCGCTCCTCTCCTCTCCCACACTACTCCTCCCACCCCCTTCCTGCTCCCTTCCCCTCGCCCCCAGGAGCTCTGGCGCCAGGCCGCCCTAGTGCCCGGCGGCGTGGCTCGCTTCCCCGGCGCCACCACCCCTCGCCCCCGCAGCCACATCCACGCAGCCATGGCCGCCATGCGCGCAGCAGCAGCAGCCGGCAGGGCAGCCGCTGCGGGCGCCCTCGCTCCCGCCCCCGGCTCCGACACCCATGCGGCGGGTGGTGCTGCTGCGGGCCCCCTGCGCGCCCCCCTGCCCTCCCCCTCTCTCCCCCTGGGCCCCGCCCCCGCCTTCAACCCCCTGCTGGTGTCCAACCCCACGCTGCGGGCGGCGCTGCTGCACCTGCGCACCGCACTGCCCGGGCTGGCGGACCTGGCGGCGCTGCAGCGGACCAGCGAGCTGTACGGCAAACAGCGGGCTGCCGTATTCGCACCCACCACCACCGACACCACCAACACCAGGTCTGCTGCAGGTGCGGCTGCGGGTAGCGGTGCTGCGCCAGCCAAGGACGAGGGCACCGATGTGGGGAGCGGTGGAGGCGGTGTGAACGCGCCGGCAGCAGCTGGGGTGGGTGGCGGTGCGGTTCCCGAGGTGTTGTTCGACGCCGGTGTGGGCGGGGAGGTGCGGCGGGCGGTGGGGAGCTTGTTCTCGGAGGTGCTGCGGGCGCTGCAGAGGCCGCCGCCGCACAGGCGCCGGGCGGAGGCGCGCAGGCGGCAGCAGCAGCAGGCTGCGGAGGCGGCAGCGCAGGCGGCGGAGGAGGAGGCGGAAGCTGCGCAGCAGCAGCGGGCGGTTGCGGAGGCGCTGGCTGAGGCGGCTGCGCGGTGTGAGCCGGTGGTGGTGCGGCGGCGGGTGGCGGGGGAGCTGGGGTCGCTCATGCGGCGCAAGGCGGTGCTGGCGGGAGGTGGAGGAGGAGCAGGAGGAGGAGGAGGAGGAAGGGGGTGGCTGCTGGCGGCCCCGGCACCCCCGGTGGTGCGGCGCCGAGTGGTGGTCATCCGCCACAGGTACGGCACGCGGGGAGGGGGTGTGGGTGCGGCTGCTGTGCTGCTGCTAGGGGGAGCTGCTAGGGGGAGCGAAGGGCCGCGGGTGTGACGCGTACCCGGGATGGAAGTATGGGTACACTGCCTGCGGCGAGGAAGAGCGCTTCCGGGGCCTTTGTGTCGTGTGCGACCGCCGCTTCCGTGTGCCTAAAGTCCCGCCAGCACTGCTACTCCCTGTCGCCTTGCGTCGCTCTCCCTCTACCTCTTACTACAACCTAAGAGAAGCCTTTCCCTCTTTTATTGCCCCACCCAGGACCGAGTTGGCCTCCGCGGGGCTGCTGCGCGAGGAGGAGGGGGAAGAGGATGATGATGAGGGGCTGGGCGGCCGGGCGGGCGGCGGCCGGGGGCTGGCGGGGTTGGGTCTGGGCTCCTCCGCCTCGCTGCCCGGGGTGCCGGCGCGGGTGCTGGCGCTGGAGGCGGCGCGGCGGCAGCACGTGCAGAGCGTGGCTGACACCTGGCTCACCCGGCACGACAGGCTGATGCGGGGTGAGCGAGAAGGGGAGCGGGCAGCGGGGGAGAAGCGGCACAGAGAGGAGCCGGCAGCGGCGGTGGAGGGTGGGGCAGCGGCAGCGGCGGCGGCGGCGCGAGGGGACAGCAAGAGTGCTGGGCGGCGGAGAGGGCGGCAGCGAGGTGCTGCGCGGGCGGCTCCTCCTCAGCTGCTGCAGCAGCAGCAGGCGGCAGCAGAGGGGGATGGCTATTTGGCTGGCGGCGGTGGTGGTGAGGGCGGGTTGGAGTCCGACCCCGACTTCGATGTGGATGCGGAGCTGGCGGCGGCGTTCGAGCAGCTGGAGGCGACTGCTGCAGGAGGGGAGCGGGCGGGCGGCAACCTGCCTCCAGCCGCCGCCGCCGCCGGCACCACCGCTACCGGAACCAAACGCTCCCGACTGCAACAAAAGCAGGAGTTGGAGCAGGACGTTGGTGCCGGTCCCTCCTCCTCCCCCTCCACCCGGCTCTTGCACGAGGTGCACCCCACACTGGAGGTGCTGTGCGGGGGGGTGCGCGGGCGGCTGCACTCCGCTAGCCGCACCGTCACATGCGCCTGTGCAGCATGCACCGCTGCTGCTGAGGACGGCCCCGCAGCCGCTTCAGCCGGTAGCAACGCCATCAAGCGGGAGCAGCAGCAGCCGCCCCTGCCTTTCCAGGTGGGGCTGTTCCCTGCGGCGGAGTGGCCGGCGCACGTGGGGCTGCCGGACGGCTCCAAGCGCTGGCGCAAGGTGGTGCAGGTGGCGCTGCCGGGAGGGGGCCAGCAGGAGGGCGGAGGCGGCGGGGAGGCGGTACGGCGGCCCTCCCTGGAGGCCTTCCTGCGCCGCAACCGCCTGGCGCTCAGCGGCCCCCCGGGGCAGCAGCAGCAGCTGGCGGGGGCAGCAGCAGGGGGCCGGGCGGGTGGTCGGGGCCGGGGGCGAGGTGGGGAGGAGGGCGGCGGGAGAGGGAGAGCGGGCGGGCGAGGAGGCCGGGGTGGCAGCCGTGGGAGAGGGCGTGGGGGGAAGCGCACGAGAGCCGACCTGGAAGAGGAGGAGGAGGTGGTGGAGGACACGAGCAGCGAGGAGGAGGAGGAGGAGGTGGAGCTGCATGGGAGCAGTACCGACGAGGTGAGCGAGGAGGAGGAGGAGTCTTCTGCTGCCGAGAGCCCTGAGTCCGGGTCGGAGGAGGAGGGGGAGGGGGAGGAGGAGCGCTCCGGAGGTGCTGGGCCCAGCAGAGGAGCGGCAGCAGCAGCGGCTACCAGGGGCAGTCGGAGGGGGGGAGGCGCAGCGGCAGGCAGAGAGGCAGCAGTGGCAGCACGGGGAAGCGGCCGCGGCCGGGGTGGGGGACGGCGCTCGAGGGCTTCCCAGCCGCCCGAGGAGGAGGAGGAAGGCGCAGCGGTGAAGGCGGAGGCGGAGGAGGCACCGCCCGCGCCCTCGCCAGCTCGCGGCCGTGGGCGGGGCGGTCGTGCGGGTCGGGGCAGTCGAGGAGCAGCAGCAGCAGCAGCAGTAAGAGGAGGCCGGGGGAGGGGCAGGGGGCGCGGGACGGTGGCGCCGGCACTCGGGGCCGGGAGTACGGCAGCGGCGGGGGAGCTGGCTGGCGGTGGGGCCGGGAGTGGCGCGGAGGTGGTGGCGTCGCAGGGTGCGCTGCTAGCAGAGGCGCTGGGGCTAGGTGGTGAGGGTGGAGGTGGGGCGCTGGAGGAGGACTTGGAGCTCATCCTTCAGACCCAGCTGGCGCTACGGGCACAGCAGCAGGCGCTGGAGCTGCTGAGGGGGGTGCAGCAGGGGGGGCATGCGGCTCCCGCTGCGCTGCCGCCGCCGGCGCAGAAGCCGCCTAAACGGAGGACTGAGGCCAAACAGCGGCAGCAGCCAGCAGCAGCTGCAGAGGAGGGCGGCGGAGCAGCAGCAGCCGCAGCAGGAGGAGGTGCTACGGCAGCGAAACGCCAGCGCGGCCGACCCCCCCGGAGGGTTGCCCCCACCGTACCTCTACAGCAGGGAGGAGGAGGAGCACCCGAGCCGCAGGCTGCTGAGGAATCCCCCGGCGGAGGCGCGGAGCCTGCTGGGGACCGGGGCGGAGGGGCGACTGGCCCGGAGGCGGGGCGTCGGAGGCGCAGGGAGACAGCCCCCGGCACAGGGAGGGCTGCAGGCGCCAAGCGGCAACGCAGGGAGCAGCAGAGTGAGGAAAGAGAGGAGGAGGAGGAACAGGCGGAGGAGGGAGCGGCGGGTGAGAAAGTAGGGACAGCGGTAGAGGGTGGGAGGGATGGGGTTGTGCTGCGGTCGGCAGCGGAGGGAGGTGCGGGGCAGGCAGCAGCAGGGGCACCGATAGTAGCGGGAGCAGCAGCAGCAGCAGGAGTCGGTGGTGGTGCCGGTGCTGGTGCTGGTGGGGAGGAGGATGACGACTTGGCGGATTTCGACGCCATGTTTGCCGCTCTCAACAGCTTCAAGCAGCAGTGATGGGAGGAGAGGCTGGGAGGGAAGGAAGGAAGGAGCGGATGAGGGGGCGGAAGGCGGACTTGGGAGCGCCGGCCTACGTTATTCTTTTAGCTGGGGTGGGTGGGTGTCATGAACCTCATGATGTTCCGGTGGAGCAGGAGGAGTAGCTGGAGAGGGGTATTAGTGTGCTGGTAGCTGGTAATCTTGAAGCTGCGGGTGCGGGGGACGGGTGTTGGTGCCGTGTGGTCGTGTGCCGCTGCCGTCCCTATTGTGCCTGGGTATTGGCTTGGAGGGTGTGGAGGGTGTTACGGTGTTGTGTTGCTAGACAGCGCTCGCCTGAATCCGGGAGGGGTGGGTAGAGGGGAGAGAAAGCGGAGGGCCGTGGGGCAAACTACCGAACAGCGAGCTCGCCTTTGATACCTGATTACTGTTGTGGGGTGGAATGGAATGCAGACAATTACGCACTGTTGGGTTACTGACTGAATCGAGTGATTGAATTATCGTCTATGAACTGACGCAGGTATGATTTCCGCATGTGTGGGCTGCTTGACTAGCGTTCGAAATGCGTTTGATGGTCGCTTGTATGTGTTGATGATGGAGGTGGCGGATGGCGCACCGCTTTGGGGGGTGCTGGTAACCCTTTCGGAAGCCCTGTCCTGGTCTTCTAGGGCGGCACACGGGTTGCACTGCAGCAGTGAACTCGACGGGTGGTATGGCCTTTATCAGGTTAGCAGGATTTAAAATTTTTGAGAAGGACCACTGGTGCGGCACTCACCGCTGCTTTGCCTGCACTCCTGGTAGCAGGAGAGGTAGCAGGAAGTGTGCGTAAGAAGATCCCATCCCAAGCCGTACGTCCCAACGCCTTTAGGAGATTCCGCAGCGGTCAGCCGGCTGCACAGGGAGCGCAATACGGTAGTCGCCACCGCTACCTGCCATCCTGCGTGTCCCACGGGTTCCCGCCCTCCTCTTCCTCCCCCCCTCCAGTCGGCCACGTCAGGAGGAGCCCCCCGAGTCGGCACGCCAACCGCCCTCAGTCGGCCGCCATGCGCCCACACGCCGGAGCACTGCAGTGGCCGCAATGATTGCAATGAGCGCACACACCTTCACACCTGCAGCGCCAGCTTGTGAATACGGTACGCGCGGTAATTCACCCCTCTCATAATCCCGCTCACATGTCGCACGATCCCACACCCCGCATGCAGGCCGTGCAGCCCCCGCACAGCAGCGCACACGCACGTACGGAACAGGACCACGCCCCCTTGCGTTGCTCCTCCTAAGCCCCGTCCCGCAAGGGCCCGCTCCTCACCCACATGGTGCCCGTAAGGGGTCAGAAAGCCCCCAACCGGCCCTTCCTTCCTACCAACAATACCGCCGCACAGCGAATAACTTGATCGCGGAAACCCCCACATGTGCACGGCTGCATGCGTACAACACCCATTCGAGGCGATCGCGCGGAAGGCAAATACGGTAGCTGTAACAATACATACGCCAACCTCAACAATGCAACCCCCCATACGACACACAGCAGTCGCCCTACCCGACCCACGCCTCTTCACTCTGCGCTCCTCACCCTCTCCTCCTCTTCACACCCAACGAGTACCCCCACACGCTCGCCCCTTCCCAACCCCTCCCTGCCCCACCCCACTTAGGTCTACCGCACCTTAAACCCCCCCACCACCCCGCCCCCCCCTCAGTATGGTCTTTGACCCCCCCCCCCCCCTCACTCGCTGATCAGCACCCTCAGCACATAGAAGGCCTCCAGCAGCTGCGGGTTGGGGCGCCGCGCGGAGCTGAGCACGATGAAGGTGAAGGAGCGCAGGCGCGCCTCCTGGAAGCGGTTGGCCTCGTACTCCTCGCCGTCCTCCTGCGGCCGGATGAGGGAGGTGTAGCGCTCGCGCGAGAGGAGGGACTTGTCCAGCAGGCGGGACAGCAGGCCGGGCTCAACCTGGGGGGGGAGGGGAGGTAACGGAAAAGGAGGAGTCAAAGGTGGGGAGAGGGGAGGGAGGCATTGGGGGTGGGGAGTGACGACCATACCAAAACATAGGAAACCACAGGCATTGGAGGGTTGGGGAGGGGTTGGGGTGGAGGAAGGGTTTCTACTCGAATATTTGGGCAGTCAGAAAAGTGGGTGCAGAGTCCGATGGGGGGCCCGCCTTGGCGGCACGGCGGCGAGCTCGAGGAGGTGACGAAGGCTTTTTTTCCGAGACTGGAGGACGGCGCGTCTGAGGCCTTGCTCGATGGGAGGTGGGGGCGCTTCCTTTCCCAGCGCCACCTCTTCTTACAGCCACCCTACTACCCACCTCACTCCCACATGTCCTACCCACGCCAGCACAATGCGTTGCTAACCCGGCCACCTCCTTCTCCTCCCTCCCCCTCCCCCTCTCTCTCCCCTCTCTCTCCCCTCCCCTCCCCAGCCCCCTCCCCCCTCACCCGATCGAACGCGCCCCTCACTTCCTCCCACAGGTCGCACTCCTGCAGGTCCAGCACCAGGGGCTTGCCGTACCGCAGCGCCCCCAGCAGCGAGCGGCGCAGCAGGGGCGGCTCCAGGTGGCGGCGGGTGAGCGCGTTAACGTAGTTGGTGTCCTGGGGGGGGGGAGGAGAGAGGGGAGGGGGGGAGGGAAGGGGGTGAGGAGGGAGGGAGGAGATAGGAAGGCCGAAGCGTGGGGGAGGGGACCGAGAAAGGGGCTCTGCGCTTAACCCCGTGAACTCTACCGCGTCCTCCTTACTCTCGCCCCCCAACACACACGTTCACCTGTTAGCACACACCTCAAGAGGGCATCCCCTTCCCGCCGCCCCTCCCTCCCTCCACTCCCACCCATCCCCTACCCTCATCCCCCTCCCCCCTCACTGCGCTCACTGCATGAGTCGGGATATGGGATTGGGACTCGTTGTTTCACTTACGGTATTTAATTTTGCCCCCCTCGGCCAGTTGCCTCCCCCCCCCTCTCCCCCCCTCACCTGGTACCTCAGGAAGACGGACGCCTGCCCCGAGCAGTCCAGCACCAGTGGCCACCTGCCGCTGGCGGAGATGAGGCCGCCCACGTCACGCAGCAGCACGTCATTCAGGGCCTGGGAGGGGGAGGGGGAGGGGGAGAGGGGGAGGGGGGCCAAGCCCGCCACAGCAGCAACAGAGGGAGGGGAGGGGCTTCAAGGGGCCGGCAGGGGAATGGGATATCGCCCTTGCGTGCGCGAGCCAGGGGGGGGGCTCTGTGCGCGGGAACGCCAGTCGTCAATACTCTCCCCGGGGTACACGTGCCCCATGCCTCCCTCCCCCCGGGGCCCCATATTAAGCACAACATGTGCCCTCCCCTTTAACCTCATCCCGATGCCGCAGCTCGACAATTTCCTTTGTTACCACCCGCAGACACCATGCAGCCCACAAGTCCAGCCCAGTGCGGAAGCCCCGGTCAACCTTTCATCCTCACCGCGGACCCGGTATCGGTAGGGCATACTAACCAACACTTTGTCTTGTGGCACACTGCCGCTCCTACCCCCATTGCTTTGCCCTGACCTGTGGTCTCCTATGGTATGGTACTTGGTCTTTGACCCCCCTTCCCTCACCTTCACCGCTACGGGCACCCCCGGCAGCGCCTCCTCCTCCTCCGCCCCCGCCCCCGCCTGCTGCTGCTGCTGCCTCAGCCGCAGCGCCAGGCGGGCCGCATCCAGCGCCTCACCCGCCTCCGCGGCGCGCCGGCGGGCATCCGACACAGCCTGCTCGGCCAGGTGGACCTGCGGGGGGGGGAGGGGAGGGGAGGGAGCGGTTCATGCGATGAAGGCGAGCGGACTGGGAAGGATACGGGAGATACGGAGTGGGGGTTGCAGAGGGGGAGTAGTAGGGGTAGTGAAGGGTGGTGAAAGGCGGAAGCCGGCACACATAAGCACGCCCGCTCCCACCGTAGCGCGTCCCCGGCCCCTCCACGCTGACACCCCCAACCTCTCATCCCCTCCCAGCCCCCCCCCTCACCCCCCCCCCACCTGGTCCAGCGCCACCTGCGTCAGCCCCTCGGGCTTCTTCTCCTCCACACACGTGTCGTACTCGTGGATGCGCTTCTCCAGCTCCTGGGGGGAAGGGGAGTGGAGGGGGGTGGAGCGTGGAGGCAGGCATGTGAGGGGTGCGAGGGAGCGGTTGGGGGGTGGCTGCGTTGGGCTGCGGGTGGGGCGGCAGCGGCTGCCCCCAGCGGCGGGCTATCAGCCATGCGGACGGGTGGTTCAGCGTATCACCCAGGCAAGGCGCAGCAGCAGCACCGCACCGCAGGGTGGGCGTGAAGGCGGCCAGCAGCGCACCCATCCCTCATCTCTCCTCCCTCACCACCGCCTCCTTCCCCCCTCACCTTCTACTCCTTGCCTCCTATGGTTGGTCCCCCTTCGCCCCCCTCCCTCCTCCCCACCCCACCCCTCCACCCCACCCCACCCCTCCTCCCTACCCCGCCCCACCATGCGTGCGTGTTTCAGCGCCTGCTGCGCCCGCCCGTGCGCCTCCTCCGCCCCCGCCACCTCCCCCTCCGCGCCCCGCACCGCAGCAGCAGCAGCAGCCACCACCGCACCCTGACGCTCGGAGCGGAGGGACTGGGGGGTGGGGGGGAAGGGGGGAGAAAGGGGAGGGGGATGCGGGGTGTCGACGATGGACCAGGGGTTTGGGATTAGGCAGGGTGGAGGTGTCAGCAGTGCGCAGCGAGCAGTGGGATGGGAAGGGAAGCAGGAAGCAGGGGGAAAAGAAGGATTCCCGATAAAGCAGTCTGGGTGGGTGCGGGAGGGAGGGCTATGGAGCCACTGGGAGCGGGAGGGAGCGGGAAGGGAGGCCAGCGAGCAGGGCACATCATCCTGGGGGAGGGAGGAGGAGGGAGGGGGCAGCCAGACCTCATCAAAGATGTGCGTAGCCCCGCTCAGGGGCATACCCCTCCCGCCCCCTCCGTCCCCCTCTTCCCCAACCCACCCATCAGCCTAAGCAGTACAGGGGTGTGCGAGCTCCCACTCCCTCATTAGCTTGCCTCCGCCCTCCCCCCCCTACCTCGTACTTGCGCCTCAGCTCCTCCGTCCGCCCCGTGTCCCACTCCTCCAGCCGCTGCCGCAGGGCGGGGGGCGCCACGTGGGCGGGCAGCTCGCCGCCGTCGTTGCCTGCAGGGGGGGGGGAGGGGGGAGGGGGGAGGGGGGAGGGTGTGTGTGTTAAAATAACTGGCCGCGAGGCGAAACGTACTGTGATTGCCGAAAAATGAAGGGTGTGTGTGTGTGGGTATATGGGGTGGGTGGGCGGGTGGGGCGGGTCAAGGAGGGCTGCTGGCAGCCTGGCGCTGTAGCAGGGAGGGGCAGCGGCACCTCACGACGTGTCCGGTGTGCTGTCCCCCACCCTCCCCCTGCTCCCCCCCACCCTCCCCCTGCTGCTCCCCTCGCACCGGCAGTCCGGTAGCCCCCAGGCTCCCCCGCTGCCCGCCCCGCCCCGCCCAGGCCGGAACCCCCAACACAGCAACACCTCATGTCCCACACCAGCCTCTCTACCAGCCCCCCTCTTCCCCTGGCCCCTACAATACGATCTCTCCCTCGTTCCCCCGCCCCCCCGCTCCCCCCTCCCGCCCCCACCTAGCCTGGGGTCCGCCCCCCCCTCCAGCAGCGCCCCCACTGCCTCCTCCTGCCCCAGGAACGCAGCTCGCCACAGCGGAGTGCGACCGAACTCGCCCCGGCTGTTGGGGTCGGCACCCAGCTGCAAGGGGGAGGGGGGGGAGGGGAAGGGGGAGGGAGGAGGGTCGCATGGGTGGAGGGGAACGGTCGGGGGCAGTGGGGGGAAGCACACACTGGCTTCCCTGGCGCAGGGGTGAGAGCGCGGAGGAGTGATACAGGAAGCTGCCCAGGGGCGGGGGTGCTGGGGGCCACCTGAGAGCCGCCTGGGGGCGGTGCAGGCGGTGGCAGCGGCGAGGGGGCCACTGCTGCTGCTGCTGCCAGCTGAGCCGCGCCTCTGCTGCCACACTCGGCCCTCCTGGTCACCACAGCTGCACCCTCCTCCCTCTCCCCTCCCTCCTGCACTTAACATAAATGTTTCCCTCCCCGCCCCGCCCCCCCTTCCCCCCTACCTTTATCAGCAGCTCCACCGCCCCCCTGCCGCCCCCCGCCGCCGCCTCGCTCAGCAGCGTGTTACCGTGCGCGTCACACACGTCCACCGGCTCCCCACCCGGACCCACACCGCCGCCTCCCCGGTCTGCTCCCCCCCCTCCCCCTCCCCCCCCCCCCCCCCCCCCCCCCCCTCCGCCTCCCCCTCCACTCCTCAGCCCCAGCTCCGCCCCCCTGGCCAGCAGCTGCGCCAGTGTCCCCTCCTCGCCCTCGTAGGCCGCCTCCAGCAGCGCCTTGCGCAGGGCCGCCTCCTGGTGGGGGGGTGGGGGGGGGGGAGGGGGGAAGGAGGGGGGAAGGAGGGGGGAAGGAGGGGTGGAAGGTTTATGGGGTCAGTCCGAACGGGAGGGAAAGGGAGGAGGAAGGTGAAAGATAGACCAAACCATAGGAACTCACAGGTTAGGGAGGAGGAAGTAAGGAAGAAGCTAACGAGCTGTATGACAAGGCTTCGAGATGGTTCGGGAGGAGGGAGGGGGTGGGAAATGTGGTGCGGGAGGAGGGCGGGGGAAGGGAGGCGGGGGGTGAAGGTGTCGAAGGTGCTGGGAAGGAGGTGCGGGAGAAGGGGGAAGAAAGGCGCTCCGATGCCGCTTCGCAACCTCCTGTGCGTGTTTAGAAAACTATGGCCACGAGTCTCCTGCGCGTGTGTACGAACGCGTGCTGGCACTGCTCCGCCGCGAGGTGTTGCTCTGACAGCCCCCTCCAGGGGGGGAGCACCCCTCCAGCCCCCTCCAGCCCCCTCCGGCCCCCTCCGGCCCCCTCCCGCCCCCTCCCGCCCCCTCCAGCCCCCTCCAGCCCCAGCCCGGCCCTGCTCCTCCGCGCTGCCGACTGCTGCATGCAGGGGGAGCCATGCAGGGGCGCGGACTTAGGGGCCCCCCTGCACCGCCTCTCCTCCCCCTCTAATAGTCCCTCTTCCCTCCTTCTCTCCCTTCCTTCTCTCCCCCCTACCTCCTTCTTCTTCCTCGCCTCCTCCTCCCGCTGCTGCCGCCTCTTGGCCTCCTGCCGCCGCTCGCACTCCACCTGCGCCCGCCAGGCAGCCGCACGCAGCGCCTCCATCTCGGCAGCGGCGCGGGACTCCAGCCTGGGGGGGGGTGGGAAGGGGGGTGACAGATATACCGGCAATAAACACCACTGGTGAGGGCAAGGCAGTGGGGATTGGGGGCAGCAAGATGTCACATGGCAGAAGAGGGCTTGGGGCGGCAGGGGGGAGGTAGGATGGTAAGTGAGGAAAACGTGACTATGGGTGGGAACACTGGGAGAGGGGGGGGGGGGTAGCAAGAGGAAGGAGGAGAGCAGAGCGGGGACTAAATGGTAAGGCTGACTAAAGCGGTACAGACGGTAACAGAGTCCACAACGAGAAGCAGTGCACCGGGTTACGTCAGGAACAAGGTGGAGGGGAGGAAGCAAGGTAGCTGCAGGGCAGGAGGGTGCGCAGCGGGCAGCCCCATCCCTCCCCCTCCTCCTCCTCCTCGCTGCCCCTGGGCACACCTAAAACACCCCTTTCCGGGTGGTGCGTGGCCCACCCTACACTCCTGCCCCTACCCTCCTGTGTCCTCCCCCTACCTACTTCCCCCCACCTCCCTACCCCCCCCCGCCCCCCCTCACTCCGCCTGCGCCGCCGCCCTCGCCAGCGCCTCCTCCTCGCTCTCCACCGGGGGCCCTGCTGCAGCTGCGGGCTGCTGCTGCTGCTGCTCCGGAACCGCTGCGGCCTCCTTCTTCCCGCCCGCCTTCTTGCCCCCCGCCGCCGCCGCCTCCTTCTTGGCCCCACCCGCCCCGACCCGGGAGCCGCTGCTGGCGGCCCCGGGGCGGGAGGAGGAGGGGGCGGGGGCCTTGCCGGGGCCCACCTGGGGGGGGGGGGGCGGTGGGTCATTTAGCACTTTGGGTTTGCTTACCGGTACTTAAAATTAACTTTGGAGGGGTAACCATTAAGGGAGGGTGCCGCCCGAGTAGAGGTACCTCTCCTCTGTACGGGCGCAGGGTGCCGTAGGTAAGTAGGTACGTAGCAGGTGAGGGCGGTAGAGAGGGGTTGCGGACGGAGGGAGGAGGTGGGTGCGGGAGGTGCTGCCCGGATGTGGGGGACACGGGCGACCCATGGGACTGCGCACGACCACATGGCCGGAGGAGGGAGCAACGGAGACACCTCTGGAGGAGGAGGAGGAAAGGGTATGAAGTTGGAGGAGGAGCCGACGGGTGCGGGTGGGGGCGCGTGGGAGGAGGTGAGGGTGCAGGGGGCTGAGGTGCCTGAGCCGCAGGCGCCACGTGTCGCAGGAGGGGAGCGAAGAGGGAGTCTGCCTGGCCGGTGCTCGGCCCAGGCAACCAGTAGACGGCCTTCACCACCACCACCACCACCAATAGCAAAGGCAAAACCGTGCGCCCCTGCCGGCATACTAGCGCATGCTGCTTGCCCTACAGGAATGGGTTACCCCACAAAACCCGCACCGACCTGCCCAACTGTGCCCCATGCCGCATGAGGCGTGCCCCTTACCTTGCTGGCGCTGCTGCCGCTCGCCGTCGTTGCTTTGCTGCTAGCCACTGCCTTGCCCGCCGCCGGCCCCGCGCCAGTTCCGCTTGGTTTAACGGCAGTACCTGCTGGCTTGCTGCTGCTGCTGCTGCTGCTGCTGCTGCTGCCTGGTGCTGCTGTCGGCTTCACGGCCACTGGGGCCTTGGCTGCTGCGCCGGGCTTGACGGTGGCGGATGCGGTGGGGCGGGCAGCACCGCGGGAGGGGCTGGCTGCTGCACGGGCGCGGGAGGGACTCGCTGCTGCCCTGGGTGCTGCGGTGGGCTTAGCTATGGAGGAAGCAGTTGGACGTTTGGATGCGCCGGCGGGAGCATCGGCATCCTGGGGCCATCGGCGCGGGGTGGGGTGGGATGATGGTTGATACGAAGGCGAGCGTTGCGACATTACGACAGGACTGTTTTGTAATTACCTTGGTAGTCATGATATTGTATAAGTTTCGCCCTGTGCTTAAGGAGTTGGGGTTTACTTTAACAAGCTACAGTAGCGGGTAAGCTAAGGTCACATACGGCGATGCGCTCACATTATGTGGAACACTAGTTGCGGAGCTATGATATTGCAAATACTCTGGCTATTTTCTAGCTGATTGTCCTTGATTTGCGGTGTACGGATTAGACGGAAACATCGGCATCCATTTCCTACGTAACCTACGATGATGTTTGCAAAACTAAGTAAGTCTGTAGGCCTAGGATGCATCCTGATTCCTTTGGTTAGAAGCTTGGCTTGTTATTTTAACCTTCTAAACACGACATCGTTCCTAAGCCCCTAAGTTTTTATCATTGGTTCAAGCAATTCTAACAGCTACCGAGTTTATGACACCATACAGCTAGTTCACGCAACGGATGCGCCCAAGCGCTACGGACGATTCTCTAGGGAAGGCCGGACCAACTGAGGTGGTCGCCGACGCTCCTGGAGGGAATGAAGGCAACAAAGAGCGTAAGTGTTTTCGCAATGGATGCAATGGGGGCGATGGGCTACACAGACGCCTTCTCTTACCTTAACTCGACATCCCTTGCTGCTTTACATTCCTCATCACAGCGTCTGAAGCCATTTCCCAAATCGATTCAATCGGAAAAGCGGATTCCCATGTTGTTTGGCTTAGTGGACTGGGGCATGTCGCAGGTCGGGACTGTACATCTAAGCAGGAACGCCGGCGAAGCCCTTCCTGGAAGGAACCCGTGCCAGCTCACGATCTATAAACCAACCTTTTCACCTGCAACTGCAGCCGCTAATCCCTCAATCCATCCTAACACATGTCTCCATGTCACCAACATCCACACCACAACCGCCACCAAGTATCCACTCCTCAACCGAAGGGACATGTGATATTGCATTTCCCCACTACACGCAATCATCCTTCTGCACATCCCGTGTCCGTCCCAATTCGCAAGTCCATATCCACATGCATCCCATCCCTTTCCTGTCCCCCCTCCCCGCTTCCCTCCCCCAGGCTGGCCCCCTGCTCGGCCCTTCTCCCAGGCCTCCGCCGCCTCCTTCCGCGTGCCCGGCGGCGGTGGCGCGGCGGGGGAGGCGGTGCGCCCGGGGCTGCGGCGCGCCTACCTCACCCTCGCACCGGAGGCACGCACGGAGAGCTATCTGGAGGTGGGGGAGGGGCCGGGAGGGGAGGGGTGTTGCAACAGGGTTTGGTTGGGGCGCAGTGGGATTGGGGGAGGGGATACGTGTGATACACACCCGTCTGATGTGGCAACCCGGAGGTAGAGGAGGGGGCTGGTGGGGCAGAGAGGGGCAGCAGCCCGGCCCCTCGTGCGGGAGCTGCTGCCCCCCTTCCGCCCTCCTCCCTCCTCGCCTCCTCCTCCTACACCGCTCCTCCGCTCAGCTGACCCGCACTCCCCTCCCGCCCCCTTCCCTCATGATGCCCCCCTTCACCCCCCTCCCCCAGGTGATGGACGAGGTGCTGGTGTCCGCCCCCGCCCTCAGCCGCCTCACTCGCAGCGCCCGGCTGGCGGTGGCACGGAAGGCGCATGTGAGGGGAGGGAGGGAGGGGAGGTTTGGTACTGGTGAGGGAAAGGGGCTTGCGAAGGGGTGCATTAATAACCCTCCTTGTCAGCGCTCTCATCCCGCAGCCCCCTCTCACCCATGCACACGGCCACGAGCCTTCCCGCGTCGGCCCCTGGTTGGCTGGCGTGCATCAGGAGTCGTACCAGCGCTCCGCACCCGGCTGTCCTCCTCCTTCCTTACCTCCTCCCTGCTGTCCTCCTCCTCCTCCTTCCGCACCCGGCTGTCCTCCTCCCTCCTTACCTCCTCACCTCCCCTCCCCCCCCTGCCAGGTTGTCGAGTTCCCGCCCGGTGCTGCGCTGTGCACCCGGGGAGCCCCGCAGGAGTGCATCCTGGTGGTCATGTCGGGGGAGGTGAGGGGGGGGAGGGGGTTTGTGGGGGCTGGTAGAGGTAGGTAGAGAGGGGCAACACCTGCCTTACACTGTTGTACACCCCAGCCGCCTCTTATCCCCATTGCTTTGTCCTAACTTGTGGTTCCATTGGGGGTTTCACCCTGTTCCTCCTGATCCCCGCCCCCGCTCCCGCGCCTCCCCCCTTCCCTCCCCCTCTCTCCCCAGGTGGAGGTGGTGGAGGGCCGCGGCAACGACCTGCCCGCCGCCTCCTCCCTGCTGGCCGCAGTCACCTCGCCCCCCGCCCGCCCGCCCATCAACCCCAACCGCCCCCCCTCGCCGCCCGCCTCCAGTCGCGACTCCAGCCCGCGGGGGGCCAGCAGGGGGCGAGCGGGGGGCAGGGAGGAGCAGCCCACCAGCCCCACAACACAGTCACCCGCTTCCCCTTCCAGAAGGCACCCCCACCCCCACCACCACCACCCCCATGCCGGCCTCCGCATCAGCCCCGACCCGCTGCTGTGCCTGGGGGCCGGCGGCCTGGGCGGCACCTCCCCCCCCGTCAGCCCCTCCCCCAGCCCCTCCCCCACCTCGCAGCTGCCCCTGCCCCTGCCCCACCCCCAGGGCGGTGCGCTGCCGCTGCAGCTGGAGCGGCGCCACGTGCCGCACCCCGCCATACTGCAACACCTGCAGCACCAACACACCTCGCAGCACCACCACCACCTACACCAGGCGTCATTGGGGGGACACAGCGGGCGCTACCAGCAGCAGCTGAGCAGGGGCGGCACACCCGCCTCACCCACACCGCCGCTCAGGCAGTCGCGCACCCCCACCCCCACTCCGCCCCTCACCCCGCCCCGCACACCCACACCCAGCAGCGGGGGCGGTGCCGGCGGGTGGGGCACCTGCGGGGGCAGCAGGAGCACCAGTCCGCTCCCCGCCTCCTCTGCTGCTGCTGCCGATGCCAGCAGCCCCTTCCACCACCACCACCAGCACCACACCCCCTTCCGTCGGGGCACCTCGTGGGAGCTGCTCGACGAGCGCGGCGGCACCCCCGGGGAGGGCAGCACCGGGGGGTGGGGGGGTGGCGGTGGGAGCCGCAGCCTGCTGCTCGGCTCCAAGCTGGGAGGTGCCAGCATGAGCAGCAACCACAGCGGGGTCAGCTTGGGCAGTGGAGGAGGAGGAGGAGGCGGGCGCAGCATCAGCCGCGGGCACCAGCACCACCACCTGGGCACATACCCGCCTCACCACCAGCACTACCACCAGCAGCAGCAGTCCTCCCTGGGCGAGGAGGGAGGGGGTAGTGCCGGCCCGCATGCGGTGCCCTGCTGCCCCGCCGGCTCGCGGCTGGGTCGGGGCGACTGCCTGGGCGGGTTGGACCTGGCGCAGCTGGCCCGCCTGCCGCCGCTGACGGGGGGGATAGGAGGGGCGGGAGGGGGGGCCGGTGGGGGGGCGGGCAGCCGTGACGCGTCCCTGGGTGGGGGCGGGGCGGGAGGTGGGGGGCTGGGGGGGAGCGGCAGTGCGCTGGCGGCGCTGACGAGTCGAGCCGTGTTCGCGAGTCGGGCGGATGCGGCGGCGGGCATCAGCACTGCGGGTGGGGGCAGCAGCGGCGGGCTTGCAGCGGGGGGTGGGGGTGCTGCAGGAGCGGGGGGGTTCCACATAGCGGGCATCCCCAGTGTTAGCAGCATCGCGGCGCGGAGGGACCCCAGCGGCGGCAGCGGCAGTGGCGCCGGCACCGCTCGGGGAGGCGGAGGGGGTGTTGCCTCGCCCCGGCCGGGCAGCCGCGGGCCGCCTGGTCGCATGGTGTCCAGCAGCGGGGGAGCGGGAGCCGCACTGCTGGGGGAGGCGCTGGCGGGGGCGGGTGCAGGCGGGGAGGCGGGAGGTCTGCAGGCGGAGGGAGGAGGAGGAGGCGGGGGCGAGGTGTGGAGTGCTGCGGGTGCTGCGCTGATGTCGCTGCGGTGGCCGGGCACTGCGGTGGCGGTGGGGCGGGTGGAGTGCGTGGCGGTGGGGCTGCAGCAGGTGGGGGGGTTGGGGGGAGGGAGCAGAGGATCACGGGTAGGGGAGTTGTGCTCTTGCTAGGGCTGCCGGGGTCCGGCCTTCCCACCAGGGGAGCACCTTGTGAACCGCTACCGCTGCCCTGCATTTCGCCAATGGTGCCGCCTGCGCGCTTCCTCACGACCGCCTTCCCCTACCTCATGCACTACTGACACTCTTCTCCCCACCCCCACCCCCACCCCTCCCAGCTGGTTGCCGTGCTTCAGTCCGACCCCGCGTGGGACGTGGAGGCGCTGGTGGGCGCGCTGGCGGGTCTGCCGGTGCTGGCGCCGCTGGGGGCGGGGGAGCTGCGGCAGCTGGCGCGGCTGATGAGGCTGCAGGTGTACGCGGGGGGAGCGGTGAGTGGGGCGGGGAGGGGGAGTGGTTAAGATTAAGGAAACGGACGGCCTGGCGGGTTGGAGGGAGAAGGGGGGGCTGGAAGGGGGAGGGAGGAAAAGGAGGAGGGGAACCGTGGGGGCCAGGGGTACACCAAACCGGGAACGGAGCTGTTTGGGATGACGGAGCGGGAGCGGGACGTAGAGAGGAATTAGCGCCAGTGTGCTGGGGAGGCATGTTGTCGCGTGGTGGTCGCTTACCCTTCAAGGACAACCCCGGGTTTGGCGGGTAAGAGGCAGGCAGGTAGATGGCGGGTGCATGCGGGGCGGGTGGAGGAGGGCGGGGACGCTTGCGTAGAGGATATAGGTGGGAGTGGAATAGTCCGCAGAATCAGTTGTACATGTCTTACCCTCCATACCGCGGCCTGCCTCTCCTGTGGCGACCCGTCCATTCCAGACGTCCGCACCCTGTTGACCGACTCACCCCCCTCCTCCCCCCTTCAGTCAGTTAGTTGTTTCCTCTTTATCCCCCCTTCCCCCTTCCACCCCCCCCCCAGGTGGTGTACAAGCAGGGCAGTGTGGGCAACGACCTCTTCCTCATCCGCTCCGGCTACGTGCGGCTGCTCAAGCAGGTGCCGCTGGACGACCCGCTGCGCCGCCGCCTCAACCGCATGGCGGCGGCAATCAGCGCGGCCAGGGAGCACACGGCGGTGGCGGCGGCGGGGCCGGCGGGGGCGGCGGCGGTGGGGCTGTACGCCGGCGTGGGGGGAGGCGCAGGAGGGGGAGGGGGAGGCGGAGGAGGCGGAGGAGGAGGGGCTCCCAGTTCGCCGGCTCCGTTTGGGTCGTCTTCGATTCGGGTGTTGGGTCCGAGGTTGAGTCACTCGGGGGCGGTGGCTAGCAGCGGAGGAGGAGGAGGTGGAGGAGGTGGTGGGGGCAGCGGGCTGCAGTCTCCTGCCAGCCCCACCACCCCGCGGAGGTCCCCGGGGGGTGCCAGCACCACCACCTCTTCAACCACCGCCACCAACAAGGACCGAGCAGCCTCGCAGCAGTCCCCCTCGGGTGAGCCGCTGTCGCCGTCACGCCGCTCCTACCCGCCGGCGGGAGCCGCCTCCTCCACCTCCCCGCATGCGGCATGGGGGGACACCCGACGGCCCTCCGCACCGGGGGAAGCGCAGCAGCAGGGGCAGGGCGGCAAGGGCGGTGGGCGGCCCGGGGGTGTGGCCCCCCTCCCCCTGTCACCCCAGTCCCCGCACTCGCCGCCACACCGGGGCAGCGGCAACCCCAAACCCGCACTCAGGCACCCTGCCGGCGGGGGGGAGGGCGGCGGACGGGGGCGCGGAGGTAGCAGCGGCGGTGGCAGCAGCAGCGGCGGCGGCGGCGACAGGAGCACTACCACCGGTGGCGGCGGGGGCAGTGGGGGAGCGGGTTCAGGCAGCGCCGTCAGCGCGGCGGAGGAGGTGTTGGAGCGGCTGGGGGTGACTCCTCGGCAGCTGGGGGGAAGCGGCGGGGACAATACACACACGCAGCCGCCGTCCAGCCCTCATCACCCTCCTCCCGGCATTGCTAGGATCGACGTGGCGGATGAGGAGCTGCTGGTGGTGTCGCCGCAGGGGGGGCCGGCGGATGCGGGCGGGGCGGAGGCTGCAGCGGAGGCCGGCGGGAGTGGGAGGGGGCGGGCGGGCGCCTGGGGCGACGACGGCAGCAGCAGCGGAGGCGGGGCAGTGGAGGCGGGCGGCGGGGGTGCGGGGTCCTCGCATCTGCTGCCGCCGGTGGTGGCGGGTTCCCGCTCCGCCACCCGCGCCCCCGCTGGTGCTGCTGCACGGGGTTCGGGTGCTGCTGGCGGCAGCACTGGCGGGCGGGGGGGTTCCGGAGGAGGAGCCGCCCCCAGCGGCGACCCGGACATTCCCCCCCCTGCTAGCACCCCCTCCTCCAACCCCTCACCCCACCCCCACCACTACCCCTACTCCTACCGCCAGCGCAGCAGCACCTCTGCCCTCACCCCCTCCACCGACACCCCCCCCACCAGCCTCCCCACCGCCCCCAGCCCCTCCTCCTCCTCCTCCGGCCCCCCCGAAGTCGTCTTTGTGGAGCTGGGCACCCTGGGGGCGGGGCAGTGCTTCGGCGAGGTGCGCGGAGACGGTGCCGCCGTGCGCTCCTCCTCCGCGGTGTGCGAGGTGCGCAGCGAGGTGCTGTCCATCAGCAGGGGCGAGCTGCTGCACCGGCTGGGGGGGCGCGTGTACGACTACCTGTGGCACCAGGTGCCCAGCGAGGGGTCGCCGCCCTCGCTGCACCCGGCGGTGGCTGCGGGCGCGTGCGGGCAGCAGCTGGAGCGGAGCATGCAGTGGGCGCTGTTCAAGCAGCGGCTGGTGGCGGAGGTGCTGGCGAGGAAGGAGGAGCGGAGGCGGGCGGCGCTGATGTGCAGGTAGTGCAGGAGGGGAGATGGAGGAGGAGACTGGAACGGGTTGGTGCCGGGACGGTTGCAGCTGCTGCAGGTGCGGTAGCCGAGGGCTGCGCATGCTTATTAAAAAGTTTGGACAATAGTTGGAATGCACTGCGGTTGTCCCTTTGGTTGGTTAGGCGCCACCATTTGTTTGTTGTGGGTGGAGCGCTGTCGAGCGGACACCGCACACGAGGGAGGCGGCGCCGTGCGGCGACCTTGTGTCATCGTAAGCATTCAGCGTGCGGTGTGCGAGTCGCTATCAATCCCAGCAGGAGCTGTGTGCTGCAGCATCTTGCGCTGCTGCTGCAACAATTAATTCATGGTTATGCTTCCAGTGCCGACATAACCAGCAGTAGTAGGAAAGCAGTGTGTTGGACGGCAGGACTGCCCCTCCTGTCGTCAGTTAGACTGCATGCTGCGGTACGACGCGAAAGTACTTTAATGTATCCCATGTGCGTGTGGTTTGTTGACTGTGAGTCAACACATGTGTTGGGTGTTGGAGCATACCCCGCCAAGGCCCCTCCCGAGCTGGGTGTTTACTGGCAAGGGGGATGAGGCTTTGGTTGGTTAGGTCAACAATAGTACCGCCTGCTGCTGCTGCAGCCGTGTGTGCCTAGAACTACTCAGGGCTTCTGGCCCCATGACATTACTTGAAGTTTGAAAAGATTTAGGACTATTGGAGGAGAGCTCTGTGTCGTGCTGCGTGTAGGACACACCTCGGAACCCTCTTGTGCGGTTTGTGTGACACGCTGAGGGGCCGAGGGGACGAGGAGCCTTTGGGAGCCCCTTGGGAGGGAGGGCCCCATGAGGCGATGCATGCGTCGCGTGAAGTAGGGCGATGTGACGGGCACACGTGGCAACCATTTCGTATCGGGTCACGATCATGTGTTACTGCCACACGTGCGACGGGGGGCCGCATGTGGGGTCTCATGTGGGGTGCGGGGGTGTGTGATACCGGTGTGCTGTGCTGTGCTGCTGCGCGGACACTGCATTCTCCCTCTTGTGGTGGGTGGGCTGCACTCCTTCATTTATTCATAATGGCTGGCATCATTGGCTTCTAGCGCACATGCATTGACACCCAAGTAAATGTTGGCAATGTTAGCATTGGAGCGGGTTGTGGTATGGTGGCGTTAATGAGGGGGCGCGGGTTTGAGGGTGCGTGCGGAGTTTGTTAACCGCTGTATGTGTGAGGCAGCCCGGCGGGTGTGTGAAGCCTGCCCGGGTCCCGCAGACCCATTGGGGGATTGATTATGAAGATGGTGAGGTGCTGTGGCAAAGCGGTGGCGAGCCGGCGCTTTCCCCGCAGGAAATGCGATTGCAGCCACCCATTACCTCGACGGGCTGCCTAACCCTTGGAGCAGAACACGGAGGAGTTCCGATAGTGTCTCATATGGTTAGGAGTGTGGGTCGCTTTTCGGGTGCCGTGTGATGGCAGTACCGCTCAGATGCCGGAGGGAATCCTCGTCCATGTTTCTGAAGCCAGCTCAGCCGCAATATCGTAGCGGTGAAGAGCGCTGCGGCTGCCTCCGTGCGTGCAACAAGCGTATGGGGCGGGGTGGTGTGAGGGCCACATGCGGCTGATGTCGTACCGTGCACCTAGATCGTCCATGTGCAGCCTCTCACTAGTTCGCAGCTAGACACTGACGTACTTGCGGTCGGATGCTGTTGTTAGTAATGGTCTTGCATTTTTTACTCGTTAAATAGTTAATTGCACACATTGCTTGGTCAACCTCCCCACTGGAGGTCGTAGCTTACACCGCTGCCCCTCCTACCAAACCCCAAACGTACCGCACACGCACACGCACGTACGGTACCTGAGAGCGGACCCCCGGGGGCAGCACCGCTCCCCCGCAGAAGAGGGGCGGTGATTGGGACAGGCTTATGACCTGGTAGTAACACCCTTATCAACGGCTGTAATCACCATTTACTCCTTATTTATGGCCACCAGCATCGCATCACACGCTCACTCCTGCACCCTCAAACATTCCTCTCAGCTCCTCTCTCTTGCACGGCCTCCTTAACGGCCGTGCATATCCTGCATGCCTCTCATCTTCTCTTTTGCTCTCATGCCTCTCTTCCTTGTTCACGTCTCCACCGCCGCCGAGCAGCGCCCGCAAGCCCTGCACCCCTGCACCACCCTCCCTCCCTCCCTTAGCAATAAAACCCGCACGTCAGCCGCCCATCTCATCATCCAGCCCGAATCGCAGCCACACCCGTTGTCATCCCTGCTGCCAAGACGTGTCATACCCTGCTACTGAAGGCATGATGCCCCAGCCACCGGGAAGCCCACCACCACCACCACCAGCGGCGCCGGCTTCCCGGTCTCTCCTAGCCAGCATCTTCAAAAGACCCCCCCCCCGGGTACACACAGCCCCCCAACAGCTGCAGACGTTTTGTGGCTGCCCCTCTGTCGCAGCAGCCACACCCCACAACCCTAGTTTGCAGGAGAGCCGCTTGCGCAACCCACCTCACAGCGGCGTGCACAACTACAATTAAATATCTAGACAGCGCAGCAACACCGATTGCCGCCTCATATATAGCACGCTAGGGAGGAAGCCTTCCACCGATGCGGCAGCCTGAGAGGTGATGACCCATGGGTCGCACCGCATGTTCACTCATGGATGCGCTCGACGGCTCCTTCGTACCCAGATCTACGGGAATGACTGATGCGTTCCGACGGCGCCATTCCAGGCGAGTAGCTCCGGGCTCCGGGTCCTCAGGAGTCGTGCCTTCAGTGGACAGGCGCGGAGGCTTGGGCAGCAGCAGCAGCAGCAGCCGGGGCAGGGGCGGGGACCGGCGCGCTGATGCCGTCCTCCTGCTCCTGCCGCGCCAGTTCCTTGCCCGCGGGCTGCCGCTGCGGCTGCAGCTCCGCCACCACTGCGGTCAGCCACTCGAACATCACCTGGGGCCGGGAGGGCGGGTTTAAGGGGGGAGAGGAGGATAAGGAAGCAGGGTTTGAAACATGTGTACGGCAGGTACGAAAGGGATGTTGATGAGGGGTTGGGGTACGCACACAGTAAGTTCCTGCTCGCGGTCAGTTCCCTGAACACACAGGCGACCGAGCTTAGTCACACTCTCGCATAAGCTGGCCGCAGTTCCTTGAAGGGAACACCGCAACCCGGAGGGCCCCATGGTGCCTCAAGACATGGCGCGCGTCCCGCAAGCCGCCCCTACCCGATACCACCCCCAGTGCCCCTCTCAATGCCCCCACCTTGTCTGTCCACGGCGCCCCGAACGGCGCCTGCTCCCCCGCCACCCAGCCCAGGTGCCCGCCCGTGAGGGTGGTGACCAGCAGGCAGTGCGGGTTGGCGAGCAGGGGCGCGAAGGGGATGGCGGCGCGGGGGGCGATGGGGTCGTCAAGCGCCTGGAGGGGAGGGAGGGGAGGGGGGGGGGGTATTGGGGATTAATGGGGATACATATAATAGGGGAACTGGGGAGGGGGCGAAGAGGAAACATATTCTTACGACTAGGCAAAGCAACCCGCCGGCGAGGGTAGGGGAGGATGAGCCGATGAGGTATGGTAGCATGGGCAGGGGGATGTTGGTCCCAGGTGAGGGGTACTTGTGGCATGCCGTTGCAACTGTGCTCTCAGCTACCCATATTAAAAGCCCCCATCAAGATGACAATCGACAAAGCCCCGTCCCTGCCCCACCAGCCACCTCCCCCCCCACCTGTATACACAGTGTGGGTACGGTGACGTGCGGCACACTGTGGCAGGAGCTGCTGCCGGCGTAGTAGTCGTCCACGCTGGGCCAGCCGAAGCTGTGGATGGTGATGGCCTGGTCGAAGGCGCGGATGGTGTGGCAGTCGGGCACGGCGGCGGGGCGGAAGGGCGGCGGCGCGGCGGCCCACAGCGGCGCGTGCTTGCGGAAGATGCGCTGCAGGGAGTGCGCCAGGTTGAGGTCGTACAGCCGGTTGAAGCCGCGAGTGAGGTTCTGGAGGAGGGGGAGGGGGAGGGGGGATAACGGAGAATTGAAGCAGGAGGAAAGGAGGGGGAGGTAAGAAGGGGGGGAAAGAGGAAACAACTAACTGACTGAGGGATAAGGCGGGATAAGGGGGGGAGGTCAGAGTGGGAAGGACGGGAGTAAGTGGGTAATCGCGCATGGGGTACAGGTACAGGGCAAGGAAGGCGAGATGGGTGATGGCAGAAGGGAAGGGGAGGAAAGGGGCAGCGTAGATACCCAACATGTGGTGGTGAGGCGGCGGCAGAAGCATGCAGGCGGAGCTGGGGGTGCACCTCGCCTTCCACGCCAATAACCCCACACACAGATACCCCCCTCCCCCCTCCCTCCCCTCCTCCCCACCTCGTTGCTGACGGGCAGGTTGAAGGGGTTGCAGAGGGAGACTGCGGCGCTGAGGGGGGTGGCGGCGCCCTCCTCACCCAGGTAGCGGAGCAGGATGTTGGCGCCTGGGGGGGGGGGGTGAGGGGATGAGGAGGGGGGGCGGGGGTCATCAGAGGGGAGGGCAGCCTCCCTCCACGGAGGGCAGCCGCCAGTCAGCCGGGGTGACTACTGCCCAGCAGAGAGGCGTGTGTGCAGGTATGCGGGCGAGTAGGCCGGGCGGTTGCTTTCCGGGCAGGCGGGCTTTCCCCACTCCACCACACCTCCCTCCCCTCCCCTCCCCTCCTCACCCCCACCCACCCAGCGACCAGCCTGCCGCCAGCAGCGGGGCGCGGGGGAAGCGGCGAGCCACGTGCGCGATGACGGCACTGGGGGGGAAAAGGGGAGGGGAGAGATGCAGTCAAAGAGGCGGCTCGGGGCGGTGAGATTGGATTGGAGTCAGGCGCAAAGGCACGGAGGGTAGCAGGAAGGAATGGCGTATTGGACGCCTGGTGCTAGCGCGGACAGAGGTCACAATCCCCTTTCCCCTCCCCTCCCCTCCCCTCCCCTCCCCTCCCCTCCCCTCCCCTCCCCTCCCCTCCCCTCCCCTCCCCTCCCCTCCCCTCCCCTCCCCTCCCCTCCCCTCCCCTCCCCTCCCCTCCCCTCCCCTCCCCTCCCCTCCCCTCCCCTCCCCTCCCCTCCCCTCCCCTCCCCTCCCCTCCCCTCCCCTCCCCTCCCCTCCCCTCCCCTCCCCTCCCCTCCCCTCCCCTCCCCTCCCCTCCCCTCCCCTCCCCTCCCCTCCCCTCCCCTCCCCTCCCCTCCCCTCCCCTCCCCTCCCCTCCCCTCCCCTCCCCTCCCCTCCCCTCCCCTCCCCTCCCCTCCCCTCCCCTCCCCTCCCCTCCCCTCCCCTCCCCTCCCCTCCCCTCCCCTCCCCTCCCCTCCCCTCCCACCGCGTGTCCCCCGTGAAGCTGGCGCTGTAGAACTGCTGCGTCAGCACAGGGCTGTCCGCAGTGCCCCGCCCGTTGAACACCACTGCGCGCATGCCGGCCCGCCGCGCGGAGGCCACCGCGTGCAGCACGTAGCTGTCGCCGCTGCCGCCCGTGAGACCCGGCAGCAGCACCAGCACGGGGGCGTGGTCGGGGAGCGGGGGGCAGGACTGCTGGGGGGGGGAGGGGGAGGGAGGGGAGAGGTGGAGGTGGAGAGGGGTGTTTGGGGACCTGCTGCTCCGTGCCGCAGAGCAGGGCGGGTGCCCGCAGCTCACCTCCCATGTACCTGCTGCTGCTGCCGCAACCGCCGCCGACAGCTGGCAACTGCTCCATCCCAGGCAAACCACCACCCACCCCCACATGCCCCCCCACCCCTGCTCCCTGCACTATCACTGCTCTACCTTTGCATGAGTCGGGAAAGGGACTGTGCTTCTCATTTCTTCCACTTTCTCATTTCTTTCCTACCCCTCCCCCCCCCCGCCCCCGCCCCCACCTCCTGCACATGCTCCCAGTCCAGTGCCACGCAGCCCCCGTCGCCCGTCATCAGGATCTCCCGGCGGTAGGCCAGGGGCGGCCTGCGGCGGGTCTTGGCGGCCAGGATGGTCTCAACGTGCTGCGGGAGGGGGCGGGGAGGGGCGCGGCGGGGCGGGGAGGGAGGGAGGGACTGGGAATGTGGTGGTGGGGGGGTGAGGGGGGTGATACCAGGGTGTTGGCCCAGCAGCAGCAGCGGAGGGATCTGGGAGGCACGAGAGGGGCCCTCCGCAACCTCCCTATGAGACCTACAGCTGGTGTGGGGAGCAAGCAGGCCCCATAGTGATAAGCCTCCCGCCTTGGTCCCCGCCCCGCCCGGCGGCGCACCCAAGTAGCCCCCACCCCGCCCAGCGCTTGCCGTAGAACCCTCCCAGGAACTCCCACTTGCCCACCCCACCGCTTCCTTGATCCCCTCCCCTCACCGGGTTCGTCATGAAGGGCACTGGGCGGTAGGGCTGGTGCAGGGTGGGACAGCAGCGGAGCACCCGCTCGTGGAACTGGGGGGGGGAGAGGGGGGAGGGGGAAGGGGATAGGGTTGGAAGAACCCTCGGGAGCAGGAAGGAGGACACAGCTAGTGGGGGTGAGGAGCACGGATGGCCAAACGAGTCACGGATTGGAGCGCGGGGAGCAGGAGCGCGGGGAGGGGCACCGCAGGCATGGCTACTCTCCTCCTCCACCTCCTCCTCCACCTCCTGCTGCTCTGACGAGCTGCAGCAGCCACATGCAGCGGCCAGCCATAGCTCGGGGGGCAGTGCGCATCGCAAGACGTGGTAACGCCCCATCCGCCTTTGACCCTTTGACCCTTTGACCCTGCCGGGGGCCCCCGCGAGCCTCTTACCTCCGTGGGCGTGTACTGCAGTCCTGGCTTTTGAGTCTTCCATTTTGCGTCAAGCCATGCGATGGCAGTCAGCAGCCCCGAGCCCAACGCAACTGCCATTGCAATAAATTTAGAAGTGATCGCCGCTTGCATCATGTCTGGTGCAGCTGCTGTTATCCCTGTCGCGATAGTCGCGCCAGGGAGTAAAGCTGCCCTTAATTGCAATCGTCGACGGGAAGAAAAGGAACGCCGCCCGCAAATAGGTGGTTGAGCAGGCGTCAGAGCAGAGGGCTTAGGGACGGCTGTTACCAATAAACTCGCTCTGGGCTGGCACACGGATGTGTGGATGCGCCGCGAAACGTTAGGTAGTTTTCCTCCAGCAAACAACTGCTTCGACGTAGAGCGTGCCACCCCTAACATATTGCTGCCCCAAGATACCCTCTAGCTGCTGGTCGCGGCACACCGCTGAAGCACCGAAGTGGACGAGCGTTATCACGCACGCTCGCACGCATGTAGCATAAAAACATAAATATAAAAGTACATTGTATGTATGTGTATAACCAGTAGGGCAAGATAACCTAACTGGTGTAGAACGTCGTGCAAGGAAGCAACGTCTGCCACCGAATCCGAACCACAGACCATAAGCACTTGCGATGGCTGACTTCTAACTACAAAGGAATTTACGTTAGGGGCATAATTAGGGAAATGTTCAGCGATGTGAGGCGGCAACCCGTCAAGGCAACAGGCCCTCGCCATGCTTCCAGCCAACGCATCCGTGCAGTCATCTCTGGGCGTCGAAGGACTGTAACCGTCTTTTCAGCTATAACGTCGACACAATTGGTAGGTTGGGGCGCCCCGGGCGAACTAACAACTGCAACAGCCTGCTCATTGAAGGACACGTCCCGCCCACATAAGCTGCACCCGATACATTCCTCACCTTATCGCGGACCAAGAATCCATCACGTCCCAGTCCTCACGATTCATTCCTATATCGCGCTACTGCGCCTCCACTCACGCCCCTGCTACCGGCATCAGGTGTCACAGCCGTTCGCACCGCCCCCACCCCACAGGGCACGGGAGCCTGGGTGGTGGCCCCGCCCTACCGGCCCAAGGGTGTCGTACACTTCCTCGGGGGTGCCTTCGCGGGGGCGGCGCCGCAGGTACGGCAATCCTAGCTTGGGGCCCTGGGGTTGGAGTTATGCAGCGGAAACCAAAGTTGGGGACTGACCCACACCTGTGCATGAGGGTTCGCCGGTATATCCCGCGTTGGGCGTATCCTCCCCTCCTCCCGCCCCTCCCGTCCCTCCTCCCCTGCTCCCCTGCTCCCCCCCAGCTGGCCTACCACCTGCTGCTGGACTCGCTGGCAGCCGCCGGCTACACCGTCATCGCCACCCCCTACGCCCTCACCTTCCGACATGACCAGTGCGCCCAGGCGGTACGACAGCAGTTCCTGGACTCCCTGGAGGAGATCAGGAGCGGCAGGGCAGGCAGCGCAGGAGGAGGAGGCAGCAAAGGAGGAGGGTGGGGAGGCAGCAGTAGCCGTAGCCCTACCGACCCACGGGTCACACGGTTGCTGCCGGCGGATGCGGCGCCTGACGACGTGCCGGTGTTTGGGTTGGGTCACAGCAACGGCTCGCTGCTGCACCTGCTGATCGGCTGCCTGCACCCGGGTGCCAGCCACTCCAACATGCTGCTGTCCTTCAACAACAAGTGAGGGGAGGGGAGGGGAGGGGAAGGGGCATGGCAGGGGGTGGGGAGGGCGTGTGTGCGTGTGTTTGGGTCAGCTAAGCCGCAGAGCTGACACGCATGCTGGGTATGGTGGAAACAAGTTGTCTCGGTAACGGTGCCGAGTGCTTCCAGCTCGCTGACATAATCACTTGAGCAGCGATGAGAGGGACTGGGGTGGGGTGGGGTGGGGCGAGGGAGCAACACCAACCCCTTCCTGCCGCACCGTTGGTTATTCCCTTCCTCTTTCCCCTCACCCCCACCTCCCACTCAACCACCCCAGGCAGGTCAAGGATGCCGTACCGTTGCCGGGTCTGCTGGACGGCCTGCCAGCAGCGGTCCAGGCAGCCCGGGCAGCCGCCCCCGCCCTGCCCGACCTCTCCACCCTGCCCCTGACGCTGCCGCTGCCGCCCCTGCCCTCCTCGCTGTCCGCCTCCTCCCTGGGTTCGGAGGTGCTGCGGGGGGTGGCCGCGCTGCTCCCCGAGGAGCTGGGCGGGGGGCCGGGCGGGCGGGTGGCGGGGGCGGGGCTGCTGCTGGACCAGATACCCGCCGTGCTGGGGGAGGTGAGAGATGCTGGGGGGGGGAGGGAGGGGGAGGAGGGGAAGTGATGGTAGCAAAGGGCCGGCCGCGACATAAGGGGGACAAACGTCACCGCTCCCACACTACCCCCATGAGCTTTACCTACCCCCTCTCCCCCCTTTCCTGTCCCTCTTCCCCTGCCCCCCCCCGGCATCAGGTTGGCGACGGCGCCACGGAGTTCCGCCCCACCCCCGCCCAGAGCGCCGCCCTCATCCGCGCCCGCTACCGCTGCGCGCCCAGCCTGCTGGTGCGGTTCGCGGGGGACAGCATCGACGAGAGCACCCAGCTGGCGGCACTGCTGCGGCAGGGGCTGGGGAGCAGCGGTGAGGGGGGGAAGGAACTGGCGCAGGGCCGACTGCTGTAAGGACTTCTTGCTACCGGTACCTTCGGAGCGTCAGAACGTGAGGCCTCCCCAACCATCCTGGCAACGGCTGCCCCCTGCTGACCACTGCCCTCTCTGCCCCTCCCCCTCCTCACCGGCCCCCCCTCTGTGCAGGCGTGACGCTGCTCACGCTGCCCGGCAACCACCTGACGCCCTGCGACGCCGACCTGCCCCTACCGCCACTGACCCGCGGGTCGGTGTTCGGCCCCGCTGAGGCGGCGCTGGCGGCTCTGCGGGGTCAGCAGCAGGCTGACGTGCGGCGGCTGTGCGGGCAGCTGGTGGGCTGGCTGGACTCGCTGGCCACCAGGTGAAGGGGGAGCAGGAGGAGAAGAGGGGGAGGGGAGAAGGAGGGGGAGGGGGAGAGTTGCATAGAGTAGGAGCCCGTTGCAAGGTACCGGTGGTGGTGCATGCTGGTCGGCACCGGTGTGGCTTTTTGTTCGAGTTGCTTGGAGGTTCTCTGGCGTTTTGCTCGGCTGGTTGGGTGGGTGGGTGAGCCCCCTCTTAACATGTGGATGGGCTGCATGGGCACTATAAAAAAGGGGTGTGCTGCAAAAGTGTCGCTAGGCGGATGAAGCATTCCTTGTCCTGGCCGCCAGGATGAAGGCGACGGGGCTGGAATGCACGGTCGAATTCACACAGGTGTTCCAGTGGGCGAGCTATCCTCTGTTTCTTGTCTCCGCGGCTCATGAATGTCACGATGCTGAAGTACTCGCCATGGCTGCTGGCGCTTAGTCATGCTGCTCGGTGTAGCAGCAAGCCACATGCCAACCAAGCGTTCGAGCCCCATGCTGCTTATAGCGAATCCCAGGGGGAGTCACAAGGGCGCATGGTCGATTTCGCTGCTGGCGTTGGGTCAGCCAAGCGAATCCTCCAGGACTCCCATCCGCAGTCCGGGAGCATGTTCCGAAGTTTTGTGTGAAAGAGTCTTTGGGGCCCTGACCTCCTCATCTACCCCTGCCGCACCACCGACTCTGCAAACCCACAGCGCTTTCCATGACAACGGCAGCAAAATCCTGAAAGCAGGTTCGGAATTCCCATCCAAAGCTCCTTCGATTTGGAGCATGGGGTATGTACTCTGCGGTTCCAACCGGTACCCCCCCATTGCAAGGACTACCGGTATGACAGCTCCACTACACCGGTACGGTACTCATGTTCCCTGCCAATCCTGCAGCTCAGTCAACTGAACACACATACTATAAGTGCCAATGCCTGACATATAATCGCAGTCCCCCACTCTGCTTTCTTCCTATAGCCCGGCTATTATATAACACGTTCCGCCCGGCCAGCGTTCACCGCTGCCCCGCAGCGCGCGCCCTCTCCACTCGGAATTGCTCGGCCGCCTCCAGCAGCGGAGCAGGGACCTGGGGCGGGGGGGGAGGGGGGCGCACGGGAGCATGAAGAGCAGGGCCTCACAGCAGGGCCACCTGGCCCCCCGGTTGCTCGTCAGGACACGAGCACAGGCTGCAACTGGAACCCCCCAGTCGTACCCCGGGCCGCAGTACACCCCAAAGCCTTAGTGTGATACTGAACAACAGCAGATAACCACTTTACAGGATGCTAGCCTAGGGGACAAACGGGCGACTAGCTGCCGGAAGGTAAACCCCAGGCAGGATCCCCGTACCCCATCCCATCCCATCCCATCCCATCCCATCCCATCCCATCCCATCTACCCATCATCACTATCTCACCCGCAGAAGGAGCCCCTCAATGGCCGCCTCCGCGCCCGCTGCCGCCTCCGGCCCCGCCTGAGCCTCCGGTCGGATGGTCCGCCCGCTGATGGTGAGCACCCGACCCAGACCCGCATACACAGTGTCGGCAACCTGTACGGCATCATGTGCGCAGGGGAGGGCTCAACAAGCGCGGGGGGGAATCAAGAAATCGTGCATTGGGGGGCCTTCCGTGCGTGCGTGAGTTGCAAGACATGCGCTTGCCCTTCTAGACCTCATCGCTCCACGTGTTCTACCGTACGTGGGCAGCAGCCTTACCTAACAACCCCACACCGGTACACTCACCCCATCAACCCCACACCGCTATACTCACCCCTGCGCCCTGCGCCTTGCCGCCGTACATGGCCCCCAGCGTCTCCTCGCTGTCCCCCGCGCCCGTCACCACCCCCGCCACCACGGGGGCCGCCTCCGCCACCGCACGCAGCCGCTTGGCGTAGGCGGGCCAGAAGGCGCGGGCGCGGAAGCGCTCCCCGCTGTCCGGCGGCGTGGCGGCGATGCCCTTAGGGTGGGAAGGTAGGGAGGTGGGAGAGGGAAGGGAAGAGAAGGGAAGGGAAGGAGCGATGTGCGGTTGGTGAGGTGTGGGGCGGAAACCTACCCGAAGAGTGAGAGTACGAATATGGCAAGGCACAGTTAAACCTCAGGCCTTGTTCGCATTTATGATACTGACCCTAGACCGTAGGACCAGTCGACCCTCCACGATTCCAGGAGCTCCACGATGCCTCTGGTGAACCGACCTCCTCCTGTATCTCATACATGCACACTGCCCTACCCTATAGCCAGCACCACTGCGCAGGGGCACACCTGTATCTCGCGCAGCGTGCTCCGAGCGTCCATCAGGATTACCACGGCATCCTGGGGAGCGAGGGCCAGGGCATGGTGCTGTAAGTGGAATGGGGCATGAAGGTGCATGGTGCTGTGAGGCCCCAGGGGGCTTGGAGACGGGCTTATTGCCCTTCTATACCCATTTGCACTGTACCGTTTAGTACAATCAGATATAAAAGGGGGTGCTAGATATATCAGTCTGTCGTCCTACTTGGTAGTAACCCAACCCCCACACAGACCCCCCGTGACAGACAGCAGCCGCCGGCATCCCATTCCAACCGCCCCTTCGGCACTGTCGAACCTGGACGCTGACGTCGGGCCGTGTGAAGCCGCGCAATGCATCCTTAAGGACATCAGCTGATGCCGGACTTGGCATCACCGCTTGACGCAGCAGAAGCTCCGAACCAACCAGTGTTAACAACAGCGTGGAGCGGCGGCTCTTCACTGCAATGTCACCTAGACCACCTTGCCGAGCAGAGGATGGCACCTTAGCCGATGCGACGACAGAACACGAGCGTCGATCAAGCCCAGATGCCTCCTGAACGTCAAGTGCATGGTCTATATTTATTTGTGAAGAGGTAACTTATGTGATGTCTCGTGCTCTCACCCGTCTACAGACCCCAGAACTTAAGCGGCACTTCAAGCAGCTCATCGACATTTTGGAAATACAGACAGTGTATACGGTAGCTTGGGGTTTAGGAGAGAGTGAGGCGAAAGACCCTAAACCAATACGCTCAAAAGCTCAATGAGGATAAGATCCTTAGTGGCAGATTGGCAGGAGCGTTACTTTACACGCTAGTTGTGAGGGTAGCGATTGCAGCTTGCAAGCTTGCACTACCTAAAAGTTGTGCATCGGAGATCCGACCCCGACCTCCGAAACCTGGTTCCGTTTGAAGCAACAGCGGGTACAGCGCTATACCACATAAGAGGCGTTGAGTAGACGATGCACCTGGGTTACAGTTCCCTGGTTTTACCCAGGCAGGCAGGTTCCAAGTTCCGCTTTGTACTGCTGTGCCTGTTGCGGCTATAATGTAACACGTCGTCCCCGCCTTCTCATACAAAATTTGATAAGATAATATAGGAGACAATTACTCCGCTTTCAGCTCACGCCTTCAATTGCTTTCAACTTCCGAAACAGCTGCCAACATGGTTCACCGCCTGCATTTGCTGTCTGATTTCATAAAATAAAAAGCCTCGATAGCTAACGGCCGTATGCATTTCCTCTCATTTTGACGTCGTTCCTTTTTGCCGGTGCTGACACCTTGCGCACAGGTGACGCTGAGAACGTCAAGTCCCTCGTGCACGCCGTCTAGCAATCCTTAGGATACATCCTATGTCCTTGCGTTTGCTTCCCTACCGCTTCTAAACCTGAGCTATGCTATGCGACCCAGCACATCGGTAAGCTTATTTGGGATATTGTTTTTTGCCTGCAATACCGTATGCCATGAACAATGCAGTTAAACGTTATGTTTTGCTTGATTCCTATAGTCTGCTTTTGGCTGCTGCGACGCTCCTCTTTGCTTAATGCCTGGTTTAACGTAGAGAGCTGCACATCTAAAGAGCACAAGTTATTATTAACCTCTCTGGTTGTCGACGTGCCAACCAACCCCGCCCCCTTTGCTAACTCTCTTCAGGCTTCCGCCACTCACAAGCCACGCTACGGCCTTTGCGCGCGTCGCAACCGCACGGTGTCCAAGCCCCGAGCATCGGCCCTTGCTGCTTTAGAAAGCTGTCTCCAAGGTCCTGTCGATACCCGAGTTCCACGCATCTTACCCCGAGCTTCTGGGCATGGCCTCCGTGTCATTCGCTAATCTCTAAAAATTGTATTGATACTAATCATACGCGGTAGACTGCGAGAGGCACGAGGTAAGATTGTAAATAGAGCATGCGGTTTTGCGTTTGCATGTGAATATGTCGTGTTTGTACGACTGGTTTCCTTGCTACCGAGCACGCCTCCCTCGCCTATGAGGTCTTACCCTTGGAGTGCCACTGCCTCTTAGCGCTAGTTGTTTCATATGCGCCTTTCTCAACCTTGTGCCTCGGTCTTTCCTCTGCAGGAGGGCTTTCGCCCGGCACGCCCCGCAGTGATTCCCCTGCTGCATGCCGTCATCAAGAGCCGGGTGTGCTCGGGTTCTGTCCTCGCCGCCGCCCATCCCCTCCTTCAGCTCCTCTTGCTGGTCGGGTGGTGCTGGTGCTGGCGTGGCGGGGCCCCCCCCCTCAACGGGGCGGTTGCCGTATCTGGCGCTATGGTGGTGGTGGTGGGATCGCACCGCATGGCCGTTCACGTGTTCTGTGCCGCCACAGTGAAGGGATCCGGGGTTGCGCCCTTGCATTGTTGAATACATAGGGGCGGTGGTTTTCTTTCCGACATGAGTTTTGCCGGGTGCATGAATGTGGTTTCCATGACCCTTGTAGGCGCTGGTACGGTACAGGACGCCAGCTCATGCCTGGACCCATTCGAACACCCCGCATGTAGCATGCCTTGTGTGACCACAGGGGTTGTGGGGTCGTATGAACACTGGTTGGCCCTGTACGGCATTCTTGGATCATATTCGGTTCCTTCTGGTTCCGTACTCGACTCCCTCTTCTCCCGCCTGCCTGACCCGCGGGGTGTGGAACTGCAGCGGCCTGCACCTGTGCGTCCTGATCTTTTTGCTACAATCGGCCTGTGCGTGTGTTAAAAAGAACTGGCCGCGAGGCGTGTGTATGTGTTCCCTATCAGAAGCCTGCGCCAACCCGTTGGCTTTCAATACCCGCCACCCCCGGCCCTCCCTGGCTCTCCGCCGGGGCCTGAGTCCTACTTGCAACATGAAGTGCAGCAGTGCAGCGCACCGATTATCTTACAAGGGCAATCAAGGAAAGGGCGCCGGTTGAAATGTTCAATGCCCTTTACTTATTGGCTCGACAAGCACATTTCCTTGTTGGGTTTGTTGTACATTTCCTCCACCATAAGGATAGAAAGCCGGCGTGCCGTGATGCATGCTTCCATAATACCCGATACCCAAGCCCGCAACCTTCACCTCTGGCAATCCAACTAGCACAAGACTCCCCGTACACAGCGCATACCGGTATATAGATAGGGCAGCCAATAGATTTACTCAAACGAGATATATATGCCGCAACCGCAATTCCACCGTGAATGCGAAGAGCTCAGCGACGCCTCCCCACCCAACCATCAACAGAGGCGCAGCAGGAGCAACAATACTGCGAAGATTACTCAACTGTTCGCGAACCCCCACGCACCCACCGCATCACGTTATCTCTCTGTTCTCTCCCAAACACCCACCCACCGTCATCCCAGCAACAGCAACACAACTGCAAGGGGCACACTCACAGGCGGCAATGCAGCCTTGAAGCCAAGATGTCAAAGGAAGAAGGGTGAACCCTTGTGGCGTCCATCAAAAGCATCTGTGCACTACCACCTGCAACACCCCCGGCTTCTCACCCGTCACAACTCATTCCGTTATCGCAAACACATCACCCGTGTTCCCATGTCTAGAAACCACTGCAACGGTCGTTCATTAACACTCGCCCCTTCACCTCGAGCCTCACAGCACTCGGTGGTGACACGAAGGCTGCCTCCCACGTAACAGGCAGGTAGGCAGGTAGGGCCCACAGCCCCACACCACGAGAAAGGTCGGGCAAAACGCATACCCGGTATGTCGGCCATGGCTGCATGGATAAGAACGAAAGCGCTACCTCCCAACTCAGCAACTAACTTCCGGCCCGCACCGTCAACATCGCGCACATTAAAGCAAAAGCCCACAAGCTCAATCTACACACAACCACCACCCGCCACCGGTCCCTGCACCGCCTAGAACAGATGGCCGAGAGCCATACCTGCCCTTGCACATCAAGCCTCAAGAAGCCGACGGCCACTAGCCTCCAGACCACCACCACCACCACCACCACCACCAATCCGGCCAACCGGACATACACCGTGCGCTTCCCGCGCATCTCGGCGCCAACATTCCACTCGCGAGGACAAGTGACCACGCTATATGCAAGATCGCACAAACTTTTGAGTTCATCTTTTCCTGCACGGTTCTTCACGCCAACACACCACCAGGGCAGGGGTCCGCACCCACACCAAGCAGACGCGCCTCCATCCATGATAGCATCAAACAAACAGACGCCGCCCCACGTACCGAGCTCACAGCCCTCGCGCAGGAAGGTTTAAATGCACTATTTAGCTCACTCACACCCCCAAATAAATGCCAACAACGACTTTTGCTCCCGCGGCTTTGCAGTTGTTAATGTCACGGCGCCTGCAGCACCTTGCCGCGGGGGCAACACTGATCGCCTCGTGGGCCGCAGCCCACACTGCAGGAAGCTGAGTGTCGCTTCACACCCACGCCCACCCGCACCCACACCACCAACATCACAGCTACATCACCACAGCCACCACCATCTTCACACCTTCACACCTGCAGAAGATAAGCAGAGGGCCTGCGGAGTTGATCCCGACGTGTAGCCGGCTAGACTCACGTCTTGCTGCCAACCTGCCGTCTCGTAAGTCGTGTAGTGGACCTCATTCGTCATCCAACACCAAGCTTCCAAAACGAGTTGGAATGCAGCGTTGCATACCGGTCATGCACCGACAAGCGCACACACACTCTCTTGTCGCATTTCACAATGTTTTATTCTGACGCCAAATCGGCGCAACAGCGTGCAACTTCAAAGAGTCATGTAAGCAAAGAAACCTCTGCAAGTACACGTAATACATTTCCAACGCTTTCATAAGCTCACCGCAGACGCAAGGGTTTTGCAAAGCAGCCAGGCGCCAAAGCAAAAAGACCAGCAAGCGAGTTACCAGGCAGACAACCCGGGGCTAGCGGTGGAGGTAAGGAAATGGCAACAACCCTCACAGTCCTCGTGCGTTTTCCAAGCAGCGCACTCAACATTCCCAACAACAACACCTCCCCAACGCCCTCAGCAGCGCCCCCAAATAAACATCCAAAAGAGCTCAGTAATGGCACTGTACCCGCGCGGCCACAGGACGGCCCACGCCACCAATAGGCCAACGAACATTGGCGAACGAACGTCCTCAATATGACCGAGCCGCAATCTACCTCGTCCGCATGTGGGTCGAGGAACAGTCCATCGAAGGGCAAGAGAAAGGCGGCTGTGGCGCGGCAGTTTGCATTCCTCAGTGGGTCGCATAGTAGTGGGGCACAAGCCCCGAAGCAGCAGCAGCAGCAGCAGCCGCTTACCCTCAGCCACACGGCCCACCTAGGTAGGGCGTGAGGGATACACATGCGATCGTGCATGCGACCGTACATGCATGTGTCGTACATGTCGTACATGATGGCTGGGCTCAGTACGCTCCAATGGCCGCGTTGGGGTTGGAGAAGCGGGAGGTGCTGATGCTGGGCCTCTGCAGGGGCAGGCGGGAGGGAGGGAGGGAGGGAGGGAGGGGGCAGGGGTTAAAGGAAGCAGTGGACAGAATATAATGGATTCTGTACTCAAGCTTTCAGCTACAACAACCTTACAAGGGGCTGGCGAGGGGACTCCTCCAGCCCACTCCGGCCCCCTACAGCCCCAACGCAATCCAAGCCGTCCCCAACATCCCATCCACAGCATCACGACTGAAAGCTCCAACAGTCGCCCCCCTGCCTTTTTAGTTTTAACCCCGCCTCCTCCTGCCGCTCCCGCCCTCCATACCCACCAACCCCCACTCACCCGCGCCACTTTGAACAGCCAGGGGTGCTTCAGCAGCTGCTGCGCCGTGGGCCTGTCCCCCGGGTTCTCCGCCAGGGTGGCCATGATGAAGTCCTTGGCGGCCGCCGACACGGAGGCGGGGAAGCGCAGGCTCTTGCGGGTGGCCTGCTCAGCCATGAAGGCAGCCACTCCCGCACCCGGCCGGCCGCCGCCCTCCTCGTGGTGGGGGTGGGGGTGCTGGCCGCCGTTTTGGGCAGAGTTGGAGACGAAGGGCGGGAAGCCGACCAGCATCTCGTAGGCGAGCACACCCACACTCCAGATGCTGCGGGGGGGGGGTGGCGGAGGAGGGGGGTCAGAGATATAACAGAACCACAGGTCAGGGCAAAGCAATGGAGATAGCGTGAAGCAGTGTGTCACGAATAAAAAGAGTTAGTTTGGGGGGAGAAGGAGCAGGGGTAGGAGTTAGTGAGGTCGGCACCATGGGTCGAGGTGGCGGACTGGATGGCCGGGTGCCGGTGTTGGTTAGCAACAATAGGAACACAAGCAGGAAGAGTGCATAAGAGGAGGCGGAAAGGAATGGTTGCAAGGGCATTGCATAATGGGAGTGTTTGCTGGAGGGGTTGGTAGATAGGACGGAGCCTTCAGGTGACGGGGCGAGGGTAGGGAGGGAATGCCAGGACTGGCGCAAACATCACGACGGGTGTCATGTGCACAAACTGCGGGGGAGTTCCTGCGTGGCTACAACACCCAACAGGACGAGTGCTGCAGCCTGTGCTGCTACAGTTGCTGCTATGGTGCATGGGTTCAAAGGAGGAGGGAGGGAGGGAAAAAGGAGGCACAATGTGTTGCATGAGAAGAGAGAGGGGTGTTGGTACGGTGTCGCGGCAAGCACCTACTCTATTGCGGGTGTGTACGCGAGATTGGGGTTGTCCTTGTTGTCCTCGGGCGCGTGCTTCAGCGGGCAGCGCTCAACCTCGGGAGCCTGGTAGGGCAGCAGGGGGGGAGGGGGGCAGGAGGGGGGGGAGGAGGGGGGCGGGGGGCAGGGGGGGCGGGCAACAGGAGGCGGGGAGGCAGGGGTCAGCAGGAGGGCCGCATGCAGGTCAGCAGGCAGGAGGGTCTATTCTACTGCAGCGGGTCAGCGGGTCAAGGAGGGCTAAGTAGGGCCAAGATGGGGAATGGACGACAGAAAGAGGTGCTGCACAGTAGGCGCCACTGCCAGGGAGGAGGCCCCTCAGAGGCCCCGTCCTGCCCCCGCCCCGCCCTCCATCCGGGTCACCCGGGCTCCTCATCCTCCCCTACCTAACCCCTCCCTGGAGGTGCAGCCCGCAAACGGGCAGCACCTCCCACCACCACCACCACCACCACCACCACCAGCCCCCTGCCGCACCCACCATGTAGTCCGCTGTGCGTGGAAGACACGCCAACGCCAACGCAGCGGAAGGTAGTGCAGCGGAGAGGAAGAGGCGGGCGGGAGGCCAGGGGCGTGGGGGTGGGGGGCACATGCGAGGCAGAGCAATCGAACGTTGGACGAAATCTCTCAACATACGGGTACGAAAGCGCGACGTGGGAGACGGAGAAGGTGCTACAAAAACACAGAAACAGCAGCACGAGGCGCGCTGCAAGCCCACCATCCCGAGTTGCTACGAAACAGGGATCGCAGGCGTGTCAACGGCTCTCCCATGCAATGCCACACGACGGTGCATGGACGGTTCCAAGAGCCTTCCCCACCCTAATCCGCCCATCCCGCTCCGCCCCCCGCCCCTGCACCCCCCACCTGTGCCGGTGCGTGTGACCGCCCGCTCCTCGTGCACGTTGATGCTCACCCCAAAGTCCGCAATCTTCAGCGTCCACTCCTGCGTGAACAAGATGTTCTCCTGCGGGTGGAGGGCGGCCGTATTGATTCACTGACCGCCCCGGGGACCCCGCCTAGGGGTGGGCACAGCTCCTGTGCCCTCGGGCGCCCCCCATACGACAAGGGCGTCATACCGCCCTCCACACGCCCCGCTGCGGCGCCGCTGCGGCCCGCTCTCCACCCGGCCCCACCCCGCCCACCGCTCGTCAGCTGCTTCGTCGGTCTCTCATTATATATTTTTTATCCCCCGCCCCGCCAGTGTCTCTCGCGGACTGTTCTTGCGGCTCAGTCCCACTGCCCTCCCCCTCTCCCAAACCATGATGGTGCCTTATCACACGGTTAATTAGTTGTTTCCTCTTTACCCCCCTCCCCCCTCCCACCCCCTCCCTCGTACCGGCTTGATGTCCCGGTGCATGATGCCCCGCGCATGCAGGTAGGCGAGTGCGTCCAGGAAGGGGGCGAGGATGAGCTCCGAGGTCTGCAGGGGGGAGCGGGTAGGGGGGGAAGGGGCGGGGCGGGGCGGGGCATGTGTGTATTCAGCTGTCTGGCAACGAGGGGAGGAATGTACTGAATTGTCGTGCGTCGTGCGGACCAGCGCCGCCCGCCCCACCTGTGTTTCCGTGAGGCGGCAGTTCATGCTGCGGTGGATGCCGAACAGGTCGCCCCGCGCCGCGAACTCCTCCACCAACACGATGTGCTTCTGCGGGGGTCGAAGACCATACCGAACCACAGGGGGGGGGGGCGGGAGGGGGGCATGCATGGATCACAACAGAGTTTCAGGCGTAAGGCGTTGCAGTTAAATTGCTTATTTGCCATACCACCATAGCTCGGGCATAACACCATCGCTAGGGTGGTATTCCAACATAGGATTTCCTCAAGGAGGAGAGCACATGTGGCAGGAAGCTGCGGCCATGCAGGAATAAGTCAGCTCACACAAACGTAGGAGGCCACAGCCCCCGACATGCTCGCACGGATCGCAGTGCCCTAATCCACGCCAAACGTTCACCGCGATTGACGTGCCCTGCCATCCGCCTCCCCCCCAGCCACCCCCATCCCCCCGCACCGCCCCCTCCCTTCCCCTCACCTCATCCTGGAACGCCGCGTACAGCATGACGATGTTGCGGTGCGTGAGCGGCACATGCAGCTCGATCTCGCGGCGGATCATGTGCACCACGTTGATCGGAACACGGCTGAGGAAGTAGACCTGCGGGTGGGAGGAGGGGGGGTGGTGGGGGACGTAGCGGCATCGATACACACGGGCGCGTTGCAACAGTGGTTCAGGCGTGTGTGTGTGCAAGCGACGATGTGCAACCAGACACCGATATATGTATGTTACCAGCGGGAAGACAAGCACTGCGGAGGGACGTGAGGTGGTACCGGTGCCCATGATCCCGAGACGGGGCTGCGGGGTTGGTAGAGTTGCCGCAACCCAGGAGTCCTCCTGAACACCCATCCTGCCTCTTCCTCCTCTATGCGACCATCCAGCATGGGAGCGCCCTCACCCCCGCCCTCACCCGCCCCCATCAGGCAGCACAGCCCAGGTGGCACCTCCCTCCCTCTCCCCCCTACCCCCTACCCTGCCGCCTCCTATCCCAATTGCTTTGCCCTAACCTGTGGTTTCCTATGGTTTGGTCCTACGGTCTTTGACCCCCCTCACCTTGAGTGCCACGGTGATCCCCGACCGCATGCAGGTGGCCCGGTACACAGCCGAGGTCTGGCCCTTGTACATGCGCTTCACAACCTGGGTGGGGTGGGGGGGGCGGGTGCATGGGGCGGGGGCAGGTGCGAGGGAGGGTGCGGGGGTGGGGAACAAGCCGGTCAGCCGCACGGGGCCACACGCCGCTGTTGCTGATGAGCTGCTGACAGGTCCCCACCAGGACTTCCGAATAGCTTGCTGGCAAACACACGCCCAGTCCCATCCTGGCCTTCCATCCTGGAAAATGCATTCGCGACACTCCTCCTCCTCGTGCCCCCTCCTCCACTCCCTCCTCCAGTCCCACCAGGGGCCGGGCACGCAAATCTCCCTCCCACCCTCCCTTGGGTTGTCACACTCATTCATGGCATGTCTATCCTTGGCCTTTTACCCTCCTTTACAAAACCCCTTCCCTAGAACTGTTGCTATAGACAGAGAGGGCTACCTGGAAATCGTCCAGCGACCACCGCCGCCGCCGCATGGCAGCAGGCACCGCGGGGTTCATTCCCAGCAGAATGCTGCCAGGCACATCGTCCTCCTCCTCCCCTGCAGCCTCATCCGGCTCCGGAGCTGGCGGCTCGGGCTCCTCCTCAGGCATCTGCGAGCTGCGGATCCGCCCGGGGGACGACAAGGAGGCGTCCCGGTGCTTCTGCGACGCCAGGTACGGCAGCGCCAGGCGGCCTGCGCTGATGCTGTTGTTGCTGCTGCTGCCGCGCAGGAGCTGCTGCTGCTGTTGCTGCTGTTGGTAGTCCTCGGCGCTGTCACCGCGGCCCAGCGGCGGGTTGGGAGAGCCGCCGTTGGAGGCGCCGCTGCCAGCACCGTTGCTGGAGGTGAGGTGGGCGGGTAGGGCGGTGCTGTAGCTCTTTTGGATGGATGCCTGGCTCTGCATGCGCGGTGCCGCGGGCAGCTGCAGGGAGGAGCTGCTGACGAGGCTGCTGCTGAGCTGCTGCCCGGCGGAGGAGCTGGCGTAGCGGCCCACCAGGGTGCCGGCGTGCGCGGAGCCCTCGCCGGAGGGGCCCGGCAGCGCGCGGCTGCTGGTGTTGCGCAGGCAGCTGGGGAAGAGGCGCTGCTCGCTGCTGGTGGTGAAGGGCGTGGTGTCGCCGTCAGGAGGCAGGGAGCCGGAGTGGGCGTGCTCCAGGCGCATGGGGGGCATGGGGCTGTTGAGGCCGCCGGGGGAGGCGGGAGGAAGGGGTCCTCGAATTGGGGAGGTCAGGAGTGCTGCGAGGGATAGGTCACGGCTGGTCTGGGTCTTGAGAGCCATGGGACCCTTCACAGTGCGGTCGATTTTTGTGATTGAAGGATCGAGGAAGCCGGCTCCTCCTTCTGATGCGGCAACTGAGGTGTCCAATTGCCGACCAACGTCGCGCTGACCCTGGCCCGTCGCAGAGCGTCCGTCACCCTTCTGGGGCTGGAACATTTTTTTAAGACCGGAGAATAAACCTCCTTTCTTCTTCGACCCCATATGGAGTGGTGATACGAGGTTGTTCGCACCATCGACATCCCAGATGTAAGTTGGCGAGGCCGAAGAGGCTTCGCAAGCTGATGGATTTCCTAACGCAGAAGATGCGCTATCGCAGATAGAGTCATGATGCGCTGTAGAGTCCGAGGTGACGCCGTTCAGCACTGAGGAGCCTCTAAAGGCGGGCCCAAGAGCTGGCATCCCCGACGGCGGAGGTAGACCGGAGGTAGACATACCTCCCGCTTCTAACAAAGTCGCACGCAGCCAAGTAACCAGCACTTGCCTGATGATGTAAGCATAGGAAGGGTCGGCGGATGACCAAGATAGGGCTTGAAACGCCTTCCGGATACAGTATCTAGGTCTAAGAGTCTATGCGTTTGGTAAAGAGCAAAAGTAGCTAGCCGCACCTACAACGAAAAGAGACTAGGCCTAAAGGCACACAGTCCGGGCCTACCACCCCTACCTGTCGGCCTCTGGAGCTCCCACTAGAAGTCCGAGTCCAGGAACCAAGTTACCAAGCTTGGCCTTATAGGCATAGGGACACAACCGTTTCTTTTCTCCTTCAGTTACACGTCACAACTGCACCGGCTCTAGGGCTGCTAATTTTGCGTAATACTCTGGCTTAGGACGTGCTTCGGAGTTTCTGACAGAGGACTCTGAGTAAGCAGTGACTGCTAAGATGCCAAGAATCGCCGAACTAGTAATGTACGGGCCTATTCTCAAGATGACATGACAAGCCAAATCATCCATCTTATCCGCTAAGAATATACCGCCATAGAACTACCAATGTTTGCTGTTATGCGGACTTTCCTCGTGAGGTAGAGCTACGAACATCGCCTAAGAAAACCGCAGTGCTATGTGTGGCCTTCGCATGTTACATACTACTATATGCAACAGCTTTGTGGTAGGTCGTCGGGTTCATGCGACTGCCTGTGTTGCAGGTCGTTTGTGAGAACCCTAGCCATGCCGACAATTTCCATCGCGGCGAAAACTTAGTGCCACGGGACGGGATGCGATTCTCAAAACACTGGAGAACGTTGGCCTCTGCATCCATTGGATATATTCTGGATAATGAAAGACGCTCGTGAATCCTTACCGGTGCTGCGACACCATGTGCTATTTAAGCCCTTTGCCCTTCGACGGAGGTTCATGTGTAGGGGTTCTGGGTATATTGAAGGGCTTACCGAGCAAGGATATTACGTTGCAAAGCGAACTTCGAACTGTCCGCTGCTGTCGTACTCTGCACACGGAGAAGGACTAGTACTTCAAACCTTGCTCTTTGAGCCTCACCACAGGCACGTCCTGCAAACTACAATAAAGCCTGGACAACCCCTATGAAGACACTCATGTACAGGGGGTTACTTCCATCTATCCGACTGACTTGACCAGTATACCGTATCACGGTGTCAGCTGCGCTCCTCGCCTTCCCTCCACTCTTCCCCTCCTCCATATGACTATCCCCATTAGGGAATTAGGAGCATCAACAACACCAGCAAGCCCTGCATCGCAGCCGTGTCGTCCGTAAGTTCATCCTCCGAGACAAACTGGCAATCTTCTGTGAGCTTACATGGGAGCCTGGAGAAAACGCAATGTGCTTTTGCAATCAGTTGCAATTCCGAGTAGGTCAGTATTACTGGTTAAAGGACGAGTTGCTACTATGTATTGTGTTCCCTCTGCCAACATTCCCAAAACTTCGTACGCGATCATGCAAAGCTTACCATCTTGGACGAAGCGGGATGTCCGTGCCCGCTCGCTGCAGCTTAAAGGCTTGGACGAAAGAGGCACTGGCTGGAACGTCTGCATCACATCTGCGCTCTTGTGCCTTCATGTGTATCGCTGTGCTCAACTTGCTGAGGGCCGACAACCCCGCTGGAAATGTCCCGTGGGTCACTCAAACCCAACCGCTGTTTTGCCATTAATGAACTTATGCCAGGCTTCCCACGCCTGGGGCATTCCATGCCAGAAGCACGGCTCTGGGAGAGCGGACCCGTACATATACATATCGGCCTGTCGCAGGTTTGCCCGTGTGTTCACACATTACGATACAATGCAACACATGGTGGTTCCTACCAAGCCAACGGCAAGTGGGCGGGAAGCGGACACCTACCAAGTTACGGCAGAATGTACGACACGACCTCCGACAGGGACGGACGAAGTGTAACACACGGTGCAGGGCATACCGGTGCGAACAGCGATGCTTACCAACTGTTACCACAATCCGACTTGTATGCTAGCCCCGCTGCGCGTCAACTAACTAACTTCCACTACCCTCCGTCCTCCGCCACAACAATGCTGGCACCATGCAGCCAGCCGGGTGCCTCTCCTGCCATTTCCCACTGCACTGGCCTTTCCATGCTTTCCATACCAGCGCCGCCAACCTTGAGAGCCACAGCCGCTCCGACACCGCGCTCTACAACACCCTTGCTATCGCTCGTAGCAGCTCCTCCGTGTGCGGCAGGATTCACGTCCAGCTCTGCTCAGCCTAGCGTGCATGCCGGTCGAAGTCCGAGAGCATACCGGTATCCACACCGCCCCACACCCCGCACATGTGAACCTTCAGCGACAGGCCGTCAATGCATTCCCGTAGCAGACACCGTGGCACAGTGCTTGGGCGGCTGCATACATGTGCAGATGGAGTTGCGGCCACCCTTTCCCCCCGCTGCAGCCGCATCCGGGACGACATGACCTGCCTACATGGCGGCTGGAACCATGGCAGCTCCTTTATGCTGCCCCTGGAACCATGACATCCCCTCCCTTTCACTCCCCCACCTACAGCAGCACCACCCTGGGCGGCAGGTCGCGCAGCTGCTCCCAGAGCTCCAGCAGCCGCCGCAGCCACTCCTCCTCTCCCACCCGGCACCTTGCGGCTGCATCGTCCCACAGCGACTGCAGCACCTGCGGGGAACGTGCCGGGGGTTGCATCACAAGTCACCATGCGGTCACCAGGCAGAGATCCATGAAAGGTAAGACACACAGAAAGGTACAGTATGGCTTGCCCTTGCATGGAACCGCAGTCATAATTCCGAAACCAAAGTGTCGCGCCCAACACCGGCTTGCACGTTTACCGGCATGCGGCAGCGCTAGTGGCGCGCATGAAAGGGTGCCATCCGCTTTCCTACATCCGTGCATGCAGTGCGAGCAGGTAGACCGCGGCCCCGTGTCTGCGGACTGCAACGCCTAAGACTGTACAACACGTATGGCAGGTATACCGTACCAAACAGAGCACAACCGAACCACACCCAGCAGCGCAACAAAGCTACAACTGTAACCCCGGCTTATCAGAACCATGTGCATAATCTGCTGTTGCACATGCTGGCAATGGCGCACGACAGAGCCTAGAAAGAGCGTCTTATCGCCCCCCGAAACAGTGAGATCCAGCCCACCTCGCACCCTAACGCACGCACCTGCTGCAGAGCTTCGCGGAATGCTTCAGCACTGCCAAGACACCCCAGTCGGCTAACAACTCGGGTAGCCTCCATGCTTTCCTCCGCTGCCGCTGCCGCAGCCCTGGCTGCCTCCTCCACCGCCTCCACCGCCCCACGCAACTGAGTACTGCACTCCAGCATCACTGTGCCAGCCTGCAGGGCGGCAGGTGGGAGCAGCTGGTAGGCCACCAGTGGCGGGTTGCTGCTGGGGCCGCCACTGCTGCTCATGCTAGCCAGCGCCTGCTCGCCCAGCCCCCGTAGGAACGCCTCGAGGGCCCCCGCAGCCTCGCACAGCTGCCGCACCCGGGGGCCTGCAAGCAGGAGGAAATGCCACGAGGGGCCTCCCGGGGCCGTCAGCCGCTGCAGCACAGCCCTGCCCACTGCGGCCGGGTTGGAGGGCGCATGCGGCGGCTGGGAGGGGGCACCGGATGGCGGCTGCTGTGCGGCAGCAGCAAGGTGTGACGGGGGCTCTCCGGGGGCACGAAGCATGAACACGGCTGAGCTGCCTAACGCCAGCCAGACCGGCTTGCCTAGCAACTTCACGGCCTCCAGTGCTGCCCGGGTGTCGCGGACGCGCAAGATTCCCACATCCACCGTCTCACAACGTCCCACCAGCTCCCGCAGGGGTTGCAGCTGCGGGGCCTGCATGTCAGGGAGGTCCTCAACACGCCCAATGCTGACGCTGCGTATGGGCCTCCGCGCTGCATTGCACGTCAGCAGCAGCTCAAGCAGCGGCCCTCTTGCAGTGGGCAGCCGGATGTCCGTGAAGCAGCCGCCACGGAGGCTGGCGGCGACAGCTTCAGACCCTCCAGCGGACGTGCAGCTGACATGCAGGGTCAGATCCTCCAGTGTCGGTGGCAAGCTCCCCAGGAGCTGCTGCAGGGCCCGGTAACCAGGGCCGCCGGCATCCAGCAGACAACAGCCCAAGGATAGCGCCTTGAGCCGATGCAGCCGTGCGATGCTGGCTGCTGCGGCCGCGCTGAGTGTAAAGCCACCGCCGGCCTTGGGTGTAAACCTCAAGCCGAGCCTCTCCAGGCTGCTTGTCAGGCTGCTGCCCACTCCCTCGAGCAACAGCAGCGGGGGCCCCATGTCATCTGAGCGACATGATATGGACAGGTCTTTGAGCTTCCGAAGCTGCAGGATGCTGGTAACAGCTGCCTCACTTAGCTTGTCAGACCCATGGGTCATGTTGATCTCAAAGCACCTCAGGCTGCCCGCCAGTGCGCCCAAATGCTCCAGGGCGCGGCCGTACGGCAGCTTCAGGGTTTCCAGGTACGGCAGCCGGGCCAGAGCGGCCACCATGATCCGCTGCTGCACCGGGGTGAACGACACGACGGTGTGCAGGTTGCTCAGGTCCAGTTTACGCAGCGCTGGGAGGAGGGTGAGGAGCATTGCAACACCTAGTCCCACGCTTTCACTGCCCGAGACATAGGGTGTAAAGTGAGGAGCCTCCAGGACTCCCAGCCTCGTGATGCGCTGCAGCACAGTAGCCGGCTGACCGCTAAAGGGCAGGGTGAGGAGGCTGCTGGCCAAGTCCGTACCCACGTCCTTCGAGTAGTAATGCAAAAGGAGCTCCACCCCCTCACAGCGGGGCCAGCGGGCGAGCGGCGGCAGGCACCCCGCCCTTGTAAGCTTCTCGGTTGCGGGGCAGAGCTGCAGGTGCGCGGTGCGAACACTGCCGTCCAGGACGTTCCGAAGCCCTCTGCAAGCCAGGCGTGCAGCTGCGATGTTTTTGTGGCTGGTGCCATGGTTATAGCCGTCCAACGTGTTGTATAGAACATCCCCAGCTTCGCAGGAAAGCGCTTGCAGCACGTCAATAAAGGTAGATGCCATTTCAACAAGAACTGTGCAATGAACGGTGAACGACGGAACAACACAAACGATGGGCGAGTCCACCTTTGCAACTAACTTAAACCGGCTTCAGATAGCTGTTTAGCTGCTCGGACTCATACTTTACAATCTTTGCCAGCCAGGCCTCACGCTTTGGATATCTTTGGACGCTGCGGAGGATTGCTGTGTCAGCCACTTCGGCCTGAGATAAAGAAGTTGCGGAAGCAGTTTGGTTGTGGTTGAAGAAAGACGCTTTCGTGAGCGAGATGGTTGTTCTGTTTTGCTGTTGCAGGCATGATTGTTATAATTTCTGCTTAATGTTTTGTATGCGTTTAATAGTTTTGCGGCCTACTTTAGAGGGTTTGACCCGAGGGTCGGTCGTTCGGCCTCCTTTTCATCCCGCCGGTCCCTTACCTTAGTGAACCGG